GTTTTGATGTTGGCATTCTTGATGTTAGTGTTTGGGGGGAGTTCTGGTCTAAAGGGTTTCAGCATTTCTCTGTTACATGGAAGATGGTGTTTTTCTGCTAGTTCAGTGGCTGTGTCAAGTATTGATCTTCCATGAATCCGTTTCTTCGGTCGTCTCTGTTCAATTATTTTCCTGTTTGGGTGGTTTGCCTAGGTCGTCTCCCTAACTTTCTTCACCGTCTGCGCCTGCGCACCAGGGCAAGCCTAGTTTCTAAGTTTAGATCCCCGCAACGACCGGCGTTCCCGCTAAACGAGTTGCTCGTTCTGTGGGGCGAGAAAAGAAATCTCGGCCACGGCCGGCCTTCTCGCTGAACGAGGGGCTCGAACTGCAGGACGAGAAGAGAAATTGGTCACGGGACGAGAAGCATTGGTCACGAGACGAGAAGCATTGCCCGAGACACGAGACGGGAAGTATTTCTCGTTCACGGGGCCGGTCTCGGCGAGAAATAGGTCAGCTTCTCGGTCTTCTCGCTCGGGAAGGAAAAAGCGCTTCCCGCCCGTCTCTACCCCCCACCCAAACCCCACCGCACCAATTGCCCTATAAGAAAAGAAGTCCTACCCTTGGCAACAAGCGACCGCCTCAATAAACACAAAAAAGAAGAGTCCTAACCCGCGAACCCTGACCCTACCCCTACCTCCACCTTTACCCCAACCATAACCCTAAAAACCTAACCCTCAACAAACACAATACAGAAGAGACCTACCCCTAACCCTCAATAAACACAAGCCTACATACACCCCTACCTACCCCAACACTAATCCCAACCCATAGTTCCTTCCCCTACCCCAACCCTATCTCTTACTCTAATAATCCTCAACAAACAAAATAAAGGAGAGACCTACCCCTTCCCCTACCCCAAACCCTAACCCCACCCCTACCATCCTAACCCTGACTTTACTGCAAACCCTACCCCTACCCCTACCCCAAATCCCAACCCCTTCACAAACTCAATAAAGAAGAGCCTAACCTTAACCCTAAGCCTACTCCATCCCACCCCCACCTCTAACCCTCAGCAAACACAACAAAAAAGAGACCTACTAATACCCCTACCCCTAACCCTACCTCCACCCCGACCCCAACACTAACCCCAACGACCTACCCCGAGCCCTAAAAAAGCACAATAAAGAAAAGACCTAACCCTACCCCCTACCCCCATCCCAACCCAACCCATAACCATCATCAAACACAAGGAAAGACCTATACCCCTAACCCTACCCCTGCCCATACCTCTATCCCAACCCCTATCCATACCCCTATCCTAACCCCTACCCCAGACCCTACCCATACCTCTACCCCTATCCCTAAACCTAACCCTAACAACTCTCTATTTTTCTCTTTTTCATATTGGTCGCTCGTTGCGGAATTCCTCATCCCTAATAATAATACAATGTATTTTGCTAGAATTAATCGCTGTGAAAATTTGGTTAGAAACCAAAGAAAACCTGGCAACTCAGCGCTCCCAAACAACGGAAGTAGATAAAGTCTGCGGGGTCAACAATGGCTGCGCCTTGATTCAAGTCTACTAATCCCCGACTCAGACCTTCAAAACTTTAAACTGGGCCTAAAAATGCGCAGACTATCGTAATTTTGTCCTGAACAGATGGTATACTAGTGGGTTTCGGTCTCCCATCATGAATTGGAAGCCATTGGGTATAATCTAGATTTAATAGTGGTCGCTCGTTACGAAAGTCCTCCCGAAAATTTCAAACCTGACTGGAAAATATCAAATTATTGGTTAACTCACTCGGGACCAGTCTTATTTTCGGACACAAACCATTGGGACCAGGGTTTTTGGAGGGTTTTCAAAAGATTATTTAGCAGTGTCAATCGGGCTTTCCCACACGGCAAAAACTTGGTCCCCGTTTGCGGGTGAATTTTTGGACCGGGCCGTAGCGTAGGTGACTAACTTTTTCAACCTCGGTCTGCTCTATTTCTGAACCAATGTGAATGAAACTCGGCAACCAATCATAAAATATAGCAAACTAATGATATGTGGACGTTGAAGTTCATACACATAAATTAACCTATACTTTTGGTGTCGGGAACTCTTTCGTATCGGGTGTACCGAAAACTATAAGGAGTTTGAATTTCTACACCGAGATGGTAATAGATCTATCTATCCTCTATAGTGTGCTCAAATTTGAACGTTCTGTGTCAAGTAGTTGTTTAGACCTGATCATAAATGCATGACTACCCGCCTATCCAAAGCGGCTTCGCACGGAGACCGACCATTTTCCCCTCACTCTCATGGCAAACGTATGTGATGCCGTATCTTGTGACTAAGGTTCACTGACCTGCCACGGTGGCGAACCCGACAAGGCGCTTGTATAACGTCCTTTTCTTTTTTTTCCAAAAGTGACAGCACAGGATAAATATTGATTTATTTTCATGGTGGTACATTTTTTAAAAACAAAAAACAAGGGCACAGCAAAAATTGTCGTTGTTACCCCTTTGATTATAAGGGCATTACCACAAATTGCAAAGGCACCAAGACAAATTGCCGCAGTGCCACGGTCTATTTCAAGCCCTGCAATAAACATGGATAATATATGGGATTGGATGGTTTTTCGCTTTTTTATTTTCATCACTCGTGATTGGTCTGCAGGCGACGGGAAGCCATCACGAGATAACTCGTGATTGGTCCCCTGTGAGTTAATTCTTTATGACCACAAGGGTTTTCTGTTTGAACACAAAGTTTTTCTGGGCACTAAAATTTAGCGCTTCTTTTTCGGTAGTTCTCACCCCGCAATTTGTTATTCGCGAGTTTTGTGCCCCCCTGACCTAATGGAAATAGGGGGGGGGGGCTGATTTTACCATAATTTGATGTTTTACAGTTGTTAGGTTTGATATCTTAGCTTGCCGCGCATCAAACGTATAGATCTAGATGTCGATATATAGGCTCAAAGAAGGGGGGGTGGGAACCACCGAAAAAGCACCAATTTAGCAGCAGGGTGTGATGGGAAAAATAGCATAACTCCTCTATTATAAGAGCTAGAACAAAGTTTGTGATATGTATTTGTTCAGAAATGAATGTTGCATTATATTTATGAGCGACCATTTCTCCGAATGTTCGGGAAAATAAAGTTGAACTCTATTTCTCCGAACGGTGTCAGATCTCGAGATTTTGTTATTTGCGAGATTTAGGCGTCATCTTTTCATTCTGCCTTTCTGTGAGGACTGGGAAGAAGCATTTTTTGCATCAAATTCAATTTCTAGAGCTAGAGATTTTTAAATGTTTGAATATTTAGATACTGCAGTTGTGGTTGGGGCGACGTTCCCGGACTATACTTCATTAAAAAATACCTTCAAAAGGTACTGCGAGAAAACAAGACTGCTCGACCTTGGAAAAGGTACTGCGAGAAAACAAGACTGCTCGACCTTGGCAGTAACCTATTATTTTGCATTTAGTCACCCAGCAAAAACTAAAAACCTTCATGTAAAAAAAAATTAAATAGACAAAAAGGTTACACTTCAAAACAAAAACAAACAAAAATTTACATAACATTTTATACATTATACACTCAACTGGGCATAACAAGTCTTCTTTGGGAAATATCCAAATTTTTAGAAGAAAAGTTGTCAATAATTACTCCAAGAATAAGAACACCATAAATAAAACACAATATAAGTTACATGGGGTATTATACAGAAAAATCCATAGAGCATCCAGTATCCTTAGAATCTGACGAAAACCTAGGGTTTTCACATATTGAAGGGCCTGCAGTTGCGGCGGTTGGAGGGGGCAGTAAAGGTTTCTCATCATCACTCCCTGACTCGGAGCTTAAGTTATCCTCACTATTATCTGATTCAGAATTAGAATGTTCTAAATTCTGAGTAAATAAGTCCGTAGCCTACTGTGCAGTAAATCTACATGGCCTACCCGAAGACTCCATCGTGAACGATATACACAATGAAATCAGCTAATCGGTGAAAATGAAAACAGCACACCAAAAAATGACAAAAATTGCGGTCGTGATTCACTAGTGCTGGGCAGGAATCGATTGGATGCATCGATACCCTGTTATCTTCTTGGTATCGGAATCGAATCGATACAGTCGAAAAAGATTGACACATGGGGACTAATATTATACCCCGGCAATTAACTGATCCTAGGGATGATACTCTTGTTATTTTTAAGTCCAAACGAAACATCCTTTTTGAAAAAGAAACGCACTCTTCACCTATAAATCAACATGGCATCAAGAAAGACTAGTATTGTGTAGGTACTTTTTGAAAAGGATATTCCTTCTTAGGTTAAGTGTTTATTATGAAGAAGAAAAAAATTGCATTCTCTGGGAACACCGCTAAAATGCAAAAACATCTGGATAGGGCTCACCCATTTGCGAGCAAAGAGGCTAAAGAAAAGGACTGGGGTCTCAAAATCAAATCACACGTACGTTATTATTTGATAGTTATGCCTATGTTTCTGATTAATGTGATATCAGGTATAAAATTAAATAATCATAAGTTGTATGTATCACGTTAAGTTCGGATTTGTTCTTTTTTAACTTTAAGATTTTTGTGCGTTAGGCCTCTAACCTAGATCTATCTCTAAAATCATGAGTTTAAATCACATTTTGTTTCAGTCCTTAACAGGAGATTTACGAGTTCAGACAGAAAATTGAAACTGGTAATTTTTACAACACCTTAAAAGTACAGTTCAACTTGCTGTAATGTCCTCTTGCCTCCTGTCCATAAGATTCCACCTGTACAAATGGCCACTTGCCCCCGCCCTGCCTTCTTCTTTTTAAAATATTTTATAATAACAATGTCCAACCAAGATATTCACCTGTCTAAGACAACCACTTTTCACCTCGATAAAGGTTGGCCCTCTCAGTTGATTGTGACTGTAATTGCTCTTTGCTCAATCTGTAACTGTAAACAATTTGAAAAAGCCCATGCACACTACATGTTCCAAAGCACCACCCATTAGCCACCATCTTTCACTCTTTCACTTTCAGATCATTCTACCTCGATGGATGTCATTGAAGGTGGTCAATGTAGCGGCCAAAAGAGAAAGTTGAATGAGCAGGATGAAGAGAATGATGAGGGAGTGAAAAGACAGAGAGAAGATGTTCAGTTGTCATCTGACCAGCCAGTTATTGTTAATGAAAAGGAAGACACAGGAGGAATAGAGACAACAGCAGTTGCTGAAGATAAAGAGGAAGATTGCTGTGATAAATTGCCTTCAGATGATGTCTGTAGAGAAAATGACTCAGCTGATGCTGAGAGCAAGAAGCTCTTGGATCCCCTCAGCTATACACAAGGAGAAGAATTTACCTCTGAAATCTACAAGATCCAAATCCACAACCTTCCAAAGTTTGGATTCAGTGTAAGTGCAAAGTTTGACCTGTTTGAGGTACGTGGTTCATAACCCATTGAACCGTCTGTACCGAAATATCATTTATGAACATAACAACATTGCTTTGTGTGTGCCAAATCTTGGCTTGATTGCGTTTGTCATGATGATTAGCTGAGTTTTTCAATTGCTGTATTGCTTTTTCTTTTTTAACTTTTCATCATTGGTTTCCTTTTCGAATTTTCAGCAACTGAAAAAGAGGCTAAAGTCTACTCTTGGGCTAAACCCTCACAAGATCAAGAGCCCAAACAAGCAGTTTGTCACATACGTGTGTTTCAGGTAAGATCTTTGTGATTTTGTTGATTGTCAAACTTAGTCAAGCGTAGACTGTCGTAATGATAGATTTCTAAATGTTTAAAATGAGACGTTGATAATATAGTTAAATATTTCCTTATCAATTTTTTTTTCTGTCTTGAGTTTGGTATATTGAGAGAAAAACTAACATCTTTCTTGAATGTAAATCATTCTACTGTTATCTTTACATGCATTAATTCAATTTATCTCATATTGCTTTAATTTTTTCTTTTTCAGAAATGAATCTGACAGGAGTGAAGCTTTAGCAAAAATAAATGGCCATGTGTGGAAAGGCAAAACTTTGGAGGCTAAGGTTAGTGCCTTTTAAGTTTTCATAATTAAAAAAAACAACATTCCCTTCCTCAAAATAATTGCAGGGAAGATTCGATTGAGCAGATCAAGGATGGTGTTCCAAATAAATTAAGAGCGTGGACATTTTAGACGTGAACTTTACAGTAATTTATGAGTCATCATAAGTTATATTGGTTGTAATATATTTTCAACTTTCTGAAGAATTCCATTGAAGTTAAGTGTGCAACTTCTCTTTGGGGGTCTTTTCATTTGCACCCCCTCCCCCCCTTTTAAAATGATAGAGCTTGTGTATTATATTTGTTATAGTTTAACTTGTTAATAATCATTTGTTTCAAAAGCTACTGTGCATAAATATTGATAGGACGATTACAGTGCCACTTTCTCTTATCATTTCTCTTGTCAGATTGCTGCTCCAGTTGCGGACCCATATCTACAAAAGCATCATGGAGACAAAGGTTAGTAGTCTTGCAATATTTTGCCAGTTCGACATAGATGATAGCTATACATATGTGAATTTCCTCAGTTTTAATTCCATCAGGACTGTACTTTGCACTTCTAATGTTTTATTTGTATGAATTTTCTGACTCTCCTTGCCTTTAAATTACAATTAGCAGGGGAAGAAGAGTAGCATTATACTATAATATGCAGGTCTACTTCATAATCCTTCGTTTCAGTCTGATATGAATATCATGCTTAATTAAAGCAACTGTCGTGACAAAGTGCTGTTTCAACCTTTGAAAGTAAATAGGATTCATGACTTATTGTTGTATTTGAAGGGAGACCTCAAGGTGGAGATTGCAAGTCAAGCAGTGACCAGACAACCCCAGTGGAAAAACTGACCTTAACCCCCGAAGAGGCAGAGGAAAGGTAAAGAAAGTTTCTTCTTCTCTGTGGTCCCCTGCGAGATCTCAGGGGTGGTGGACCCCTGGTTCTTTATCTGCAATGCAAAGAAAGTTTGAAATGTGGATGAAGTGAGTTTGATTTTCATAAGATGGATAAAGTTGGCCTACTTTGTTTTCATTTTTAAAAGAAAGCATAAAGTATATTTGTCTTTAATTTGGTTGTTGGACTGAGGGGTTTATTTGGGTCAAGGGACATAGTTCCAATCGAAGATTTTCCTTCCTCTAGTCTTCAGATAAGTGTTACCTAGCAGCCAAACTTTTCTAATGGTGCTCATCTCTCTGTGCATTTTTTAAAAGTTAGAAAACTAATTTTTCATCAGAACAGAAAATAAGAAATGCGAGTCCTGAATTGTCTTATGTAACTTTTTTTCTTCTCCAGACTGAAAGCCAGTGTGACCCCTCTCTGGAACACAGAATATCCTGAACAGCTGAGGGTGAGTATTATGTCCTAGGCATGTAAATCTCTTCTGTTGTAGTCACTTCTTTTCTTAACCCTTATAGCCTCTGTGGTGTATATTTCCCTCGTGAGATCTCATTCCCCCACAGCCCAGTCATGTAAATTTCCTTCAAAGGGTGCAACCCACATCAAATCCAGTCACATATTTTTACCGTAACGTAACCAGTTGCCTTTGAAAAATATTCTATTCTATCGATGTTCTAAAACCTCAAACAAAAACAGTACAGAAAAATCTGAAGATGTCTGCAAAAAAACATATGGACATAACCAGTATTGGCTGTGCCTGAGGAGTCAAGGACCTCAGTTTTGTCTGGGCCAGACGGAAATGGGGGGCTGACCATAGCCAGTTGCTGTGAGGGTTAATATAATAAAAGATTTCTTGCAGTGAAAGGTCAGACTATTCTGTATTGGACAGTTTATGATGCAAGGTTAAACTGAAAAGGGGGGCTCTCGTGGCCTAGAGGTTAAGGTGTTTGCCTCTCATTAAAAGGTCCTGAGTTCATATCTGGGTCGTGACAGAAAAATTTTCTTCTTTAAAATTGTCTCCTTTCAGCTCTTTTCCTGTTGTCTAGCAATGTTATATCGTCTGCTTTCGTCTCCACTTTCTGCCCCCACCCCCTCACCTCCTTTGCCCCCTCTTCTGGGCTCCTGACTCTTTCTACAGCCTTTCTACTGCTACTCCTTGGCTCCTTCTTACTGCTGTCTTTCAGCCTCACCCCTTATCTTCTGGTAGGAAAGATCTACACTTACTTTTCTCAGACAAGGGCGAAAAATCTCAGAGGTCCCGTGTGCAAGTTGTGTTCGTTAAAGATCCCTTGGAGGTCTAAAATCGATAAGCGTTGGCTTCGGCCGCCTCCCGGGCAAAATTCAAAATTTCGTACTAACTGAAAATGTTGGGTGTGTCCCGCGTGCTCATATGACCTTATGCAGTTGCAAGCCATGTAAAACACTTACCAAAAACGAAGTGTATACAGACCCGGTAACCGGGAACAAAGTCACGAAGTATACAGACCCGGTAGGGGAATTCTTTTGTGATTTTGGAAAGTTTCAGCGCCAGACCCGGTAGTGTGTGTGTGTGTGAGAGAGAGAGAGAGAGTGTGTGTGTGTGTGTGTGTGTGTGTGTGTGTGTGTGTGTGTGTGTGTGTGAAAGAGAGAGAGAGAAAGAAAGAGAGAGAGAGAGAGAGAGAGCAGGGGGAAGTGGTAGCAAAATGTACATGCCCCAGTTGGCAGGAGGGAACGAGAGAAAGATAGAGTGGAAAATAGGTGGGGAGAAAGAAAGACAGAGACAAACAAAGAAAAAGAGAATGCGAGCGATACTCAGAGACAGATGAGAGAGAGAGAGAGAGAAATAGATCTAGAGAGAGTGACAGCTCGATTGTAATTATGACATTGTTCTTTTCTTCAAATTGTGATTCCTGCAACTCCAAAACGGAGGAAAAACGATCGTTCAATGAAAAGACATTCGCAGTCTTCATTTAGATCTAGATCTTGGCTAGCCTCGAAACTAGATCACAGATTTATGTCTGTCTAGATCTAGAAGAACATATAGGTCTTCCTTGAGCCAAGAAGAACTTTCCGAAATCACAGAAGAGTTCCCATTCCGGGTCTGTATACTTTGTGACTTTCTGTATACACTCTCTACCAAAAAACCCCCCCAAAAAACCTGAAAAGTTGAAGGCTTTAAGGAGAAAAATGTGTGAGGCCAAGTCAGCAGGGGCTATTTACCCTGCAAGTGATTTCCTTGATTCTGAGTTTGCTCGTTTACATGTTCGATGAATGTCAGTTTTTTGTTGATGTGAATGAGTGAATCTTAAAAAGTGGAATCCTCCTTTCATTGAGTCCGAGTTATTGTTGTATTTTAGTTGCATTGTTTTATCCCAGTTTTTTTTTCTGGTGACATGAAACCGTTGTCATGTTTACTATCGGTAAACTATAAATGAGTAAATCAATGGATAATGTTATAGAAGTATCTTTTTAGTTTAAATTGACAGGTTTATTGTGATGATAGTTGTATTAAAAGTTTTACAGATGTGGTTGATAGATTGTGTTTTCAGTTTTACAGATGTTTTTTTGAAGATTGTTGTATCAAAGATATAAATTGTGTTAGTAATTTTACAGGTGTGATTGAGAAGATAGTTGCATTGGTAATTTTTCAGATGTGGTTTGAAGATAATTGTGAAAAAGCATTCAAAAGTGACTAATATGCACCAATGTTTTACCAGAAAAGGTCCTTAACGGGGGAAAGCATTACTGTTCTTTGTAGTTTATGTTGGAGCTGTTGGTTGGTGTGCTGGAAATTCCTCTGTTGTGTAAAGTATGAGAGTTCAGGATTTGATAGTGCTTCAATATCTTGTACCACCCTTCTCATTTCAGATGAAAACTGAGAAGATAAGAGAAGTTTTGAAGAAAGTCACGCGACATCATTTTGTGCGGCACATGTTTAAATCTGAGTGAGTGTTTATGATCGCATAATTCTGGTTATTTTGTTTCACTTTTGACATAAAAATTTTTTGTTGTACCTTTACTAAATGCATGTTGGTAAATTGCTGCGTGGAATCTTTTGTGGTAATATATCCTAGCTATGATGATACCATGTACAAAGGTTCTGTAGTCCACAGAGTGGAATTTCAAACTGTGTCTTGGACATCCAAACCAATACTTTGCAGTCAGTTGAGTTCTGAAATTAAAGAGAATATGGGGGTCAGGCTTGGAGAACATAGAAAATTTATTAACATTCCTCAAGTATGACTATGTGACCAAAATTAGGTTGCGTTGGAATTGAAGAAAATCGTACATTGACTAACTGATGACCTTGGAAAAAGGCTTTTACTTGTAACTTTTTATTCCATAGGGGTGAGAGAAAAACTACAGTCGAACATGCCCTGACGGCCACCTCTATAAGACGGCCACCTGTACAAACGGCCACTTTCCATTTCCCCCCTTGCGTTTTTTCTATATAATTTAACTGTGTAAGACGGGCACCTGTCCAACGCGGCCGCGGCCACCATATTTTAACACACAACCCCTACTGCACTGAGCAAAAACACCTGTCTTAGACGGCCACCTTAGAGACATAATTACGTTTTGTCATAAATTGTGCATTGGCCCTTGGCGTTGTGGGCGAGCCGTCATAATCCAATCACTTCTCGTTGTTGTTAGGTAGTCCCTCCAAACGATCATGTTGCATAGGCCCCTCCCACTGTTGACCAATTGGTACCGATTTTCAGCTGCTGGTGAGGTAAGCGTGTGATCCCTCATAACCTGTAAGCCCCACCCAAACCTCATACACAAATCGTAAGTGAGATGAGTGGTCACTGTTTACCCAGTCTGTAACAAAGTAACAAAGGACGTTAACACGAACTTGCGACAGAAGCGTCGCTCATTCTCCGAGTGGTGGCGACCCATGTGTTTGTTTTAACTTGGCACTCGGTCTTCCTCGTCTGATACATTTCGTTTTATTGTCACCCTTGCGCAAAATCAGCAACAAAGTAAAAATAACAAACAAAATACAAACCAGCAACAACAAAAACAACAACAATGCAGCTACTTTCGATTGGGACTTCGATGGGAATGGTTTGTTTTCATCTTGATCAGTCCTGCCTAAGACGGCCACCTGTCTTATACGGCCACTTTTCTCCTTGACAATGGGTGGCCGTCTTACACAGGTTTGACTGTATGTGTCCAACCTTTTAATAATAGTCTTCAATAATCATCTTTGTGTAAAAAGAGTATTTTTTTCTTCAAATTTTGTGGTCATAGTATCAAAAGTGTCAAACACTTTTCTTTTTTAAGTTGTTCGTAACCCCCGGGGCAGTGCTACTGACTGAAGTGTCTTTAGGTCATTCCCAAAGGGGGGACATTAACATGTTCTTATGCACAGTAGAACTGTAAATGGGCTGATTCATCAATGTCATGCTCATACCTGTGCCTGAGCTGCAACCGGGAACTGCTGCTTTTTCTTTCCTAATCCTTACTATCGTCATTTTCCTCTACTTCTTTTTTATGTTTGTCACATTCTTGTGACCCGTTTATTTCCGGGATGCCTTGATAGTCTAAGCAGACTTTGTGCTGTTGGAGCTAGAGAGGTGGGCAGAGTACACCTGATTCCCTGTAAGGACTTCTCTGTTGACATCCACCCCTTGGTGCTCATATGACCGTGTGCATTTGCGAGCGCCATAAAACCTCTACTAAAACAAACTAAGTAATTTGTGTGAGGGATCCCCCATGATAAAATAGGCTCTACTTACCTGCAGTCCTGTGATTGTATCTTTGCATTTTGTTAGTGTGGTATAGTTATTATTATTTATGTGTTCTTATATGTGAAGTATTATTGTGGAATCAGGCACTCGTAAAAAAAAAGGCATTTTTCTTTCCGTTTGGCAATTTTATCGAATTTTTATTTTTTTGTTCAAAGCCTTTTATGTCTATTCAAAAATACATTGCTGTGTGTATTTTACTGAAAAACAATGGTTAAAGCACAAAAAAATGTCAATTTACAGCTAACAAGGACTCTCACGCTTTGGAAATCACCAAACTTTGGCGGCCATTTTCTCGCCAATTTTACCCCTGAAACCAGGTGACCCCCACTTCCTTCGATCTGAAATATCTCGGGTTCTATTAAAGCTAAATCTGTAATTTTTTCATCGAATGCAAGACAAATGAACAAGCTTTAAGGCGATACCAATAACTTTATACAAAAAATTGACGAGCGCCTGATTTCACTGCGCCATGACACCTATATATATGATTCATACATTTGGGAATCTTGTGGTTATTGTGAGATTTTGGGTTCAGGTGTTAGAGCCTCAGGTTGGTCTGATGTTGTGTCCTTTGGAAAGGCACTTTACATGAATTTTCCCATTTGGTGTGGTCCTATTGGAGACGGTCGTTAAATTCGGAGGTCCTACTTCTTAAATAATCTTACACACAGTGTCACTTTTCGTCCAATTCTGTTACTTATAGTTAGCGTGACTCAGCAGCCCGCAGGAGCTCCCCGGCTCAGGGTCACAGGATAATGAGCCCTGAAGCGACTTTGCCGGTGTCAGTTAACTCTTTTCCAACCAGGCCGAAATCCACCACTGGCCCAGGGCTTTTCCCTGACCTATTTTTACGCCCCTACACCTCTATAGAAAAATGTGAAAACATCCAACTAAACACACACAAACCATAATTTATTGCCCATCAAACTGAAGGTTAAAAAATAATCTATCAGACGGTGGTACATTATTAAAGATTTATTCCAATTATATTAGTTTGGGGTTTCTAAAAGCGACTAAGCAAAATCGAAGATGTCAAATGGAATCAACAAATTTCAAGCTTTGAAAATTCACCACTAAAAAAGTACAACAACAGCATCATTCAAACTTCCCAGGTAGGTTGCCTCAAGTGATGCAAAGAAATGCTGGCTGAAAGTTATGTGTGTGTAGCTATTATAGAAGTGAAAATATGAGACATATACTGGACTCCGGGGAACACTTTTCTTTTCATTTTTACACTTCGAAGGGGACAGGAAAAATCGCTGAAATTACTCCAAATTGTCTGTTTGTGCTATATTTTCTTTCATATCCGCTAACAGAAAGTCTATTCTATTATTTCGAAAACATGGATCAGCCGAGAATTTCGTGTCTTTTCATTACTGGATTGGAAAAGTCTGGTGCTGATTCAGTGTCTCTGGAAAGCTAGAAATTATTCTTATAACCCAATTACGAGAAGTCATCCCTGTTATTTCGTCAACTTACAAAACCTAGACTGCATTTTTACGAAAAGTAAGGAATTTCTGGAGTGTAACACTAACAGAATACTGTTCGTGTATTGCATTCTAGATGTATTCTGGCTCTAAAATCGATTTATATGACTTCATAGAGAGACTGCAGGGTAATTTTTATAAACTTTCGAGAAAATATGAGAATATTCACGATTATATATATGTCCCTGTCGGTCAATATCAGTCATATGAAGGGAAATTTCAAAACTGAGTTAACATTATTATTTTCAAAAACTATCACCGTTTCTCTACAATTAAAAACAAGAATGAAGTAAATATGACCATATTTGACGCAAATACAGACTTTTTAATTGTGCAAGGTGAGGAAACACGAAAAGGAGAAAATGGCATCCGAAGTTGAGCAACATGTTTCCATAGCAATGGGGATCTTAGAATTGAGATAAAGACTTGAAATTTAGCTGTTATCTTGGCTATATCACTACAAGGTAACATACTGAAGTAGAAAACTATTCATTCTTAGAAAAATAACAGAATTTTCACAAGAATACACTTCTCGTCAAATGCAACAAAATATTAGCATTATACTAGGTACCAGATACTCAATTTTCAAAGTAGCTGTAAGTCAAATTCATCTGTTTCATATGAAAGGCGTATGTCTCCTGAGAATTTTGGTACCATACGTTTCCCTCTCAGTCAATGTTTTAGAGAATGGCAGCTGTTTCAATTTAACATAATGATAAAATATTGCTGAAGTCGGTAACTGGCTACAACCCCATGTTTGACATAATAAAAGAGTACCAAGTGCTCCAAACATCTCTACATTAACAGAGTACAATCATTATAACAAAGAAATGAAGCCTAATTTTTTTCCATGACTGTGAGATCATTGCAAGTCAGTATTGTATTGCCTCAAACACGATGATCTTTCATTATTTCAATAAAAACACCAAGAGTTGTCTCGGCCGACACTACACTAGCCCTCGCGGCGAGCGAGTCGACTCAATACTGTTGTGTACTGAATGCTCCCGCTAGTTTCGCGGAAGGATTCATGCAAAATAATTCCTAACCGGTGACTTTATTCTAATAGAAAAAGAACCGTTCTTTCTATAGGTACCCTTTTTTTGCTGGTATTTTACACATTTCGTGTTTAAAGTGATCTTTGAAAACTTAGACTTTTTTTTTCAAAGTTTTCTATCCAAACACCAAAAATAATAACCACGGGAAACACCGCTAAAAGCTATATAGTTCTCCGTCAATGAAAAGACGGTATTTAATCATCAGTCTTTCTGCAAAGCATTCGAATGCATGGATGTCAATTTTGAACCAGCCCACCTCGCATTCTGACCGCAAGGGGCTTCCCTTTCCACAGTGCTTCTCTACCTCATACTCGGATTATAATATACAAACAACTTACACTATTGTAAAGAAGGATATCTGAACTTTTTCAAAGTGTTCAGCATTTGGTGTTTTATAGCAAAAGAGCAAAGAAACAGATCTGAATTACCCCCATTTTACCGAAACCACACGCTCGGAAGGCCGCGAGTCGGCTTACGTGTCGTGTTTGCGGTACCTAATTATACATTTGCAATAGCACCATAAACACACGAGAGCAAAGACACACACACACACACACTCACACAAACAAACACATACATACAAACACATCAACACGCATACACACACATGCGCATAGACCGCCTCGCTGGCCTCTTGGTAAGGAGTCCACTTTGAGAGGTCTGGAGGAAGGGCAATTAATCTTTTAAAAGCACTAATACAATAAAAACGAATTTTTTAAGTCAACCCAACTGTAAAACTGAAAGATCAACGTATAACAGCTAACAGGGCACGCCCACACAGTCAACTGTTTTACGTAAACAAACTTGAAGTGAGCTAGAAGTTACCGTTTTTACTCCGTTTTACCAATCAGAGTTGTCTACATTTCAGACCATTCATGCTCGAAAAGGGTCAAAATCTAAAAATAGTTGCAAATGAAGAATGTTGAAGCCAAGATACTCAAATTTGGAATATCTTTGGTTGAAGCAAAAGTGGCCATGAGTTAATGGTTCTAAAAATAATCTTGCAGCTACACACTATTTATCTCGTCACCCAAGCTCACAACAGACCACTCACACCTCTAAAATAAAATATTGATAGTTTATAGTTGATTAAAGTTGTTTATTTTATCTTATATGAAGCAGAAGACATCAAACTTTCAATATATCCGAAAATCAAAAATTTAATGGAAAGTCACTTTTTTTGCCTTTCGAGCCTCACAGCTGATAATAAGAACAGTGATATTGACTACGACTGATATTGACCGAGGCAGACAAATATTAGACACATTATGTTGTATTTGGAGAAATTACTTCATAGCGAATTGTGTGCCAGATGGATAAAGTTGCAAAATTACAGCTTTCTATTATATGTGCAGATACCATCATTTTGGAGTATCTGCACCAATGTTATGTCGTTCATATTCCAAAAGTTCGACAGTTTTTGTCGTGCTGGTTCTTTTTTTTTTTTTCCCCATTCAGACGTGTCCCAAATTTTTTACAATTTAGCATTGCCGACTTCAGCACGTTTAACGAAATAACCAGACAAGTTACAATGTCCTTTTCTTTTTAGTCTCAGAGCAGAAATGCGTGCTTTGGGTGCATTAAATGATAATTACTATAAGTACAAGAATACACCTAAAACGGTACGTTGAAAAGTACCAAAGGTCAAATCAGCCCAGACAGAGCGGCGACACCCCGACGTGATAAGGCTCAACGAAGAACCCCCCGCTGCAAGTAAATTCCACTGCCGGTGCATCGTGTACAGTACCGGTATTGCAAGGAGTGTTAAACCTGTGTATTTTTGTACATTTGGCTTTTTCAAATCTTTCCCATGTGAAAGGCATCTTTATTTATCGACATGTCGTCTTTTTCTCATTTTGTTTCCTAGTTCTCAACTGGATGGGATGGCTTGTCCGCTTGATCCTGTTGTTCCTTCTGTAAGTAAAATATGATCTGAAGCTTCGATGAATATTCAGTTCTTTTTTAGAAACTCCATTTTTTTCACTTTTTCTGAGATTTCAACTATTGTCATTCAGTACAGAGTCATGAACATTTAGAATTATTTTTTTTGCTTCCTCAGATTTTTTTGATTTTTTAAAATTAATCGGACATTGTTGGTTGCTATGGTGCTGATGTACCTTGTGAAAAGGTATTCTGGTTTGAAAATGGTTCATCAGTACATGTTTTTGGAACGACTGTGAAAGTTTTACCTTATTGTAACATCTCATCATGGCTTACTGAGTTTTGTAAGTATATTGGTATTTCTTTCTTTTAGACCCCTATTTTACCCACTTTTGCTGTTGGTATTAAAATTAAGAATTTACATGAAGAAATCATTTTACAGACTGAAAGTAAAGTAAAAGACTTAAACAGTCTAGTTAAATCATGTTCCTTGTTTTTTCTGTTTTACATTTTTCAGCCTATTACGTCAGAGTATCGAAACAAGAATGAATTCACCATTGGTTATGGACTTGATGGGAAAAGTATGTAGACTTTTTTTATATTTCTGTAATTTGTCTTGGTGAGAGAGGGAGAGAGAGAAAGAGAAAGAAAGACTTTCAATTAGTTTTAGTTTTAGGCATATGCACAAAGGATAGAGCAGGTTTACCGTAACTATTGGAAAAGACGAAAGTAGTTTTTATTACTCGAGCACTGAAAGAACTTTCAAGTGTAGACAAGTGTGTTAACACCTTGCCCCCACGGATCGGCGACGGTAGAAGCCGTCCTTTTCCTCACGGGTCGGCGACGGTAGAAGCCGTCCTTTTCCCCACGGATCGGCGACGGTAGAAGCCGTCCTTTTCCCCACGAGACGCTGATCGGCGACGGTGTAATAAAGCATGTACCGCATCTGTATCGTGGTCCATGGGGATGGGGGTGGAAAGTGTTAAGCATGAATTATTTTATTTTTTCAAGATTAATGTAAAAGTAACACCAGGCTTTACGATTTAGGATGTTCTTGTATTCTTGTATTTCATACGCCTCAATGATTGTTTATGCTCAAGCATTGGAACTTCAGTAGAATGATATATGCTCTTCTATGTTGGTCATAGCATGGAAAGAAACATAATATGAGAAGGTATTTTCATTTTTCTTTGGAGGTAATTTGAAAAATTTATCACGTTATTTTTCTTTTGCAGCCATCACGGTAGGTTTCCGGTATGGTCTGTACAAAGATGGAACTACGTCGGTTGGAGACTGCACTAACTTAAAGGTGGTCATGCCCGCAGCTCTGCCTGTTGTCCAGGTAGGTGGATTCAGTTTGCCAGAGACTCTTCATTACCTTAGAATTACAAAGTTCTCTCTGACATTTTTGTCTGTTTGGAGTTAATACATCGGTCTCAATATTCCGCTATTTAGCGGATTTCCGCTACCGCCATGTCCTCCGCTAAACTCCGTAGACCTGCATGTTTGCCGACAATCGTCTGAAATCCGACAATCGCGACCCGACCCGCGAACCGGCCGATGCTATCGCTAGGCCCACCTGTATCAGTCAATGTGCGTAGTGCGAGGCCTGGCCGACTGCCAGCGACCCCTTTTTTCCCCGTCGGCTTCGTCGGCACTTTCGTTTTCGTGCCGACGCGCGCACTGCCGACGTCGGCGTTTCCGACATAATTGTCGGAACCTAAGTAGAAATGCGAATACAGAAAAGGACGACAACCTAAATTATCTACTTTCAGTTTCGTGCTCGAGCGGCCATTTTGAATTTCGTTTGTTGACTAATTCAATTGTTCAGATCGTGTGGATTCATTCAAGTCCGACTCTCTTGTTCTAATAGAATCTAGATCTAGATCTAGATTTATATAGATCATTATAGACCTCAATGGAGGATTCATATTCCAATTCTATTGTGTCAAACCCTATCATAGGTTGTGCTGTAATATTAATATTGGTAAAAATAAGCATTTCATTAGGTGCGTGAATTATTTATTTATTTAGATCTAGATTCTAGATCTAGAATCTAGACTCAGCTGAGTCCCTCTGTTCGGAATCGGATGCGGATTTCTAGTTCAAGGCCTAGATCTATTCCTATTCACTTGTTCTACAAGATCTAGATCTAGATCAAACCCTATAGCAATGCAGATGTAAGCCATAGATCTAGGAGATCTATGCTCCTTGTTTGTTATGGAGTGTGGTATTTTAATTAGATCTAGATCTAGATTTTTTTTTTTCATTTAGGACTTGTTTTGGCCTTTTTACATGAGGCCCGTTGCAGGTTCTTTTTGGGGGTAGGGTTAGGGTTAGGTCTCTTGTTTATTGTGTTTGTTGGGGTGGTCGCTGGTTACTCGGATGTCCTTCCTTATGACACCCACAAATGCTTTTTTTGGGGGGGGGAGGGAGGGGGGGGGGTTGCACAAAATTTTCAGACAATCTGGTTGAAGCTCACATGCAGGTCTAACTCCGCTACTGCGAAAGCGGGTCAATCAGAAAGAGGGTTGCTGGGAGCAGAGTGACTGCCAGGCCTCGGGAATTACCCGTGAATTTGAAAAAAAAATCGCCGAGATGCGGGAAAATACATAAAAGATCTCGAATATTATTTGAAAACCAAATCTGATAACGTCTTTAAGTTCATTTTTGCCGGTCGCGATTGTGATGTTAATTCGGCTTTTCCCGGTCTGAGAGTGCGTTTCACGCGAACAGGCGACTATGGCAGCAAGCGGAATTGTATGTGACACCGAGGCTCGACCGGAAAATCAAGATCTCAGAAATTTGTCTGTAAAAGTCTGAATACGCAACATTTGTAACATGCATGTTCTGCATTACAAATGTGGTGTCGCCATGAAAATAATGTTCGTCACTGTGCTGTCGCTTGTGGGGGGGCGAAGAAAAGAAAGTTATACAAGCGTCTTGCCGGGCTCGTCATTGTGACCGGTCAATGAACCTGGGCACGTTCTGAGCGCTGTGAAGTACAGGACTCCAGAATGGGGGGAGATTATTGATTTTTTTTAAAAGATACACTCGGGGATGGGGGGAGGGCTGGACGCAACACCAGAGGACAAAAAAAAAAAAAGAAAAGAAATTGAAAGCAAATTTTAATATTTAGAATTTTGATTACTACTACAGCTCTCTGCAAAGTAAAGTGCGCGTTTGTGCATGCCTTGTGTATAATCGGGATCCGTCATTACTACTTGTAAGCGTGTTAATGAACTAAGTGTTCGCGTTTCATTGGATGGGTGACAGTAAATTATGTCTCTATATTTTAGCTTTTTGTTCGAGATTCGCAGATTTTCAGTGTCACTGTATCTTGCCCTCCCACAGTTCCTACACCCCTCACACTAAATAGGTTTACTTGAGCTATTCAAGTTATTACTCTACTTGGAGTTTGAGCATTAATTTTGTCTTTCACGTATATTACATGTATGTGAATCATTACACCCAGACAGGTTCATGACAGTCGATATTCTGGTTCTAGGCCTTTTCCCAGGCTCAAAACAAAATTCATTTTTATATAGTTTATATAGGCGAATATGATGAAGGTAAAATATAAATAAGTCGAACAAGACCACAGTGCGCCTCCACTTTCTGTACGTAATCAAGATTGTAAATATTTGGTAAGTGACTCTTACTTGAAATTATCTTCCAAACCCTCAAACTGGTATGAAATAACCTTGCTTTGATAAATTGATGGTTTTTATTTCAACATTCTAGGGTCCAACAGTATAGTAATAGTGGATGTCTCGCCAAAATGGGCTTCTGTCGCGATCACACGGAAAGTTCCTCCTTTTTAAAAATTCTGAGTTGAGACCCATGTAATAAGATCAGAGACCAAATGTTTCATAGCCAGTTGGCACCTCTGACTTTTTACTCAAAAGCTCTCTTTGAATTAGATGAACTTGTGGATACTTGATGCTTTTAGAATTCTTTCTATCCTTTGTTCTTTTTTTTTTCTACTACTTTGTCAGACATGACAAGAACCAGTTCTGACAATTATTTGTAGAACTTTGTTCAAAGTGAGTGTGTTGGGAGGGATCTTTACTAGGGAAGAATCTATGGTGGTGCTTATATTATGTGAAAGTCTTTCCTTTTATTTTTAGTTCCCCCCCCCCCTTTCTCTCTCTCTCTCTCCCCCTCTTTCTCTCTCTCTCTCCCCCTCTTTCTCTCTCTCACTCTCTCTCCCTCCCCCTCTCTCTCCCTCTTCCTCCCTCCATCCCTCCTGCAACTCCCTGCGACTCACTCCCCACTGTATCTCTTTCCCCCAACCCACCTGTCCATCAGTTCACCCTCAAATTGTCCTTATATTTCAGAGTTTCTCACGTTTTGTGGCCAGCAGCAAGTGGCAGCCTTTCCATCAGCAAACAAACAGTGGCCACTGGCAGACCCTGACTGTGCGGACCTACAGATCTGGGGACGTCTTAGCCATGGTGGACTTTGTACCCCGCAAACTTGGCCAGGTATTTTTTTTTCTTTTCTTTTTTTTTCTTTTTTTTTTTTTTTGGTAAGTGTTTTACGGCGCTCACTACTGCATAAGGTCATATGAGTGCTCAGGGACCAGGTATTTTAAGCAAGTCTTCACAAGAAGTCTTGGGTTTGATGATATAATATTCTTTTTTCCCCCCCTTTCTTGTTAGGCATTGTCTGTCCACTGCTGAATGTAGCCCTCATATAAGGATTCTGCTCTATCGGCTGTTCTCCGCTTCCAGGTTGTGCCTGTCTGCTATCTGTGGGTACTAGAAACTAAAATTTGGTACCATTCTTTAAGAAAAAGGTAGCAATTTAAAATTTGATTGAATTTGTTTAAGTCGCTCTCTGGCTGCAACCCCATGTTTGACAGATAATAAAAGAGTTCCAAGTGCACCAAACATCTCCACATTAACAGAGTACAATCACTATAACATAGATATGGAGCCTTATTTTTTCCAAGACTTAACATAAGATTATTACAAATCAGTATTTTATCGCCACAAACATGATGATCTGTCGATATTTCGACAAAAACACCAAGCGTTGACCCGGCCGGCGCCGTACCGCCTCCCCGCAGGGGGGTCACGTGCTTTCCGAATTTTGCGGAAGGATTGATGAAAAATAATTCCAAGCGGATTACTTAATTCTAATTGAAAATAAACTGATCTTTTTGTTGGTATCTTTTTTAAGCCGGTATTTTACTTATTTTGGGTAAAATATGATATTTGAAAATTTTGGCAGTATTTTTAAAGGCTTTTTATTTATACGCCAAAGGCCAATAATATACTACGGAAAAGCCTGTCTAAAGCTCTATAGTTCTCTGCCAATGAAAAGTCTTGAATGCACTCGTGTCATTTTTTTAACTGGCCGACTACACGTTCCGACTGCGAGGGGCTTCGCTTTCCTTGGCGTTGCTCCAGCCCCTAATAATCGGACATTTATACAACTTACTCCATTGAAACGAAAAAGCTGAACTTTTACAAGGTGTACAGCATTTGGTGTTTTATAGCGAAAGAGCAAAGAAACAGCGATCTGAATTGCCCCGATTTCACCGATACCTCGCCCTCGGAAGGCCGCGAGTGCCCGCGAGGCCGTGTTTACGCTACCTACTATCTGGTGTCATTTTACCTCTTTCTTCCTGGTCTTCCTCTTAATCATTTTTTTGTTTTTGGTCTCTAAACTAATTCTACACTTAACATGAAAGTGGTCAAAGTTTAACACCACTATCAGCACAATTTAGGTCATTTAGAGCCATGCCTTACAAAGCCAACCTGGATTGAGAGGGACACAATGTCTCAGCACACTGATGGAGATGGTCAATAAACACAAACACACACATGCACGCGCGCACACACACACACTCACACACACTCTCTCTCTTTCTCTATTTGGATTATCTGGGAGGGGGTTTTAAGTTACAACTCACTGAATTAAGTTTCTATTCCAACTGCAAGAAAATCCATCAAAATAACCTGCTCAGGGATTGGACCTTAACTGACCAAGAGGTGCAACAGTTTCATTCCAGTGTAAGTAAAAACAATATGATAATGATAATTATGATAGATAGCATTTGTTTAGCACAAATTCATACTCAACAACAAGTTCTATGTGGCAAAAGCAAAGACATTATACCTCTATTACTCGCCATGGCACCTTCTGTCGTTCTGTTTTACTCCCACAGGAAGACGTTGATGAGGCAAAATCAGCTGTACAGCGCTACTTCACCACCGGGGAAGGAAAGGATGTCAAGATTACGTCTTTTTACTTCCGCACTGTGGGGGGCAAGTGAGTGCTTTTGTTTCTAACGATGATATTTTTGGTTTGCAAGTGGACTAAATTTAGAACATTAGTAATCAGTATCATAGATATTCATTTAGAGACCTCAATCAATGGATAATAAAAAGATGCAAGCTCTCAAATTTTGATTATTGTGTGTTCTTCAAATGTCAGTGTGGCTCAGTTGTGTTTAACTTTCATAATTTCATCTTGCAATTTGTTTCACAGTTTTTTTGCTTTCCTTGATACTGTTATGTGGACTTTGATTATTCAGTACAATTTAAGTCAATTTAGAAAGTGAACTGCCTCTGCTCTCCCTGTTTGTCACTTTCAGTGTCAGCGCAGGCTGGATGAGATTCAGTATCTCAGTGGAAAGATAAAATATCCTCCTTTTGGGGGAATCAAACCAGTCTTTTGCTTGTAAGATGAACAATCTAATTATTGTATAGCAGACGCAAAAAAATGCTAGTGTAATTGAAATATATGAGAATGAAATTACAGTGGAGTCCGCCTAAAGTAAACTGTTTGGGATGAGAAGAAAGTGATCCCTTTATCCGAGGTTCAGTTTAACCATTTTGGTTGGGTGGAGGCCTAGAAACAGTAGTTACACGCAGTGGTGGGTCTAGGGTGGAGGCAGGGGCGGCTCGTGGATTGAGAAGCCAAGTTGGCAGCTAGAGGCTTTCTCTTTGGGCCAGTAGACATTTTGTAAAATCGCCAGCTGGGAATGCGGTGTTTGTGCAAAGTCGTGCCTCGCGACAGGAGACGGTGACAACAAAATTGCGAGCCACCGCTAACATATAACAGAGACAATGAAAAGAAAATCTGGAGTGCATCTACTTATCAGTGAACCCCTGTAGTCTTTGGGGGGGGGGGGGGGGGGGGCGTCTTCAAATCAGCAAAGTGCTTTTTGAATGTTGACAATAAATATTAATTAAGATTTACTTGAAACTGAATAAATATTATTGCCAGCAATAAATCTCTTGTCCACTGTTTAGCTGATAAAAAGTGACTGGCTCCACCAGTCTTGCCCAGTTAACGAACCGTGCCTGGGTGGAGGTGGGGTGGGGGGGGGGGGGACAAAACAGAGGGCGAGCCTAGACTAGAGCTCTTTCTTTCTGATTGCCGTCACCAACACTGATCTGGGATTGTCTGCTGATGTCCGATGCAAAGAATTTTATTTTAACAGCATTGCGATAGCGGCGCTGTCGGTCCTTTCTTCACTTTCACTCATTTTGGGCGTTCGCTCTATCCGATTTCCCCATGAAACCAGTTTATTTTATCCCCTATTTTTTTACTTAAACAAAAAGCGTTTCAATCGGGACCACAGAATATCGTTCACTTTAACCGATTGTTCAAATAAAGCGTGTTCTCTGTAGGTGGACTCCACTGTATTGCATTTTTTTTTTTCATTTGTCTTTATCATACATATATATACTGCAGTTTTCTATTAATGTCTTCTTGTCACATGTGATCCTGTAGTCCGTGTTCTCTTGTCTTAGGGTATTTTGAAGTAGGTGATGATAGCAAGAATTTGTCTTGAATACATTTCTATTTGTGCCCATCTTGTAATTTCCCTATAACGTTTTTTTTTGTTGCAATTTCTTCTCAGGGGTCAAAATGGCAACAAAAAGACACAGGTGTTATTTGGAGAGAAGGTCTGTATTGAGAGTTTATTGTTTGTGGAAAGTGTCACTTGGGTTCCTCACTACTCACACTGCTTTTTTTTTTTTTCATTTTCGTAACTGTGTGCAACATAATGTTTTGTCTCCCTAAAATATTGTAGAATACTCTTGTTGCCTGTTCAAAATTTGTCCTGTTGTTATATGTGATCTTTTAGGAGAAAGTGTCTAATTTTGTATCTGCGGTTGAATTATGTCTGAGATTTGGTAAATAGAATTCACATTTTCCTCATAATGTTAATTGTTTTGCAAGATTTTAAGAATCATTTTGTATTTTAGCACTGATAAATAAAGAGAAATTGTTTTAAACACACAGGAATAGTATACAACTTTTGTTATTTCAGCAGAAAAAGTGAGCAGCATACCTAGGAGAATCATTTTGTTAACTGATTGTGGGTAAAAAAGAGCAGTGAGTTGTGGTTATGACGATGGAGGGATGACAATGCATCATTTTTTAATATTTCTTTTTGGCTTCTTATATTATATTCGTGTCAACTGATTGGTTGATCTCAGCATCTATCACTTTTAGAAATGGTTGCCATGTAATCAGATATTACAGAAAGCACAAAGAATGGTTAATTGATGTTCATTTGCAATCTTTTTTTATTTCTGGAAAAGAATTTTATTGGAATTGCATGGATAGTGAAACTGATTGTCAAGTTATTAAAGTGTCTTGTTCTATTCCTCTACAGCATGTCTATGAGCATCTCATGGGTCTGAAGTTCAGAATATCACCAGAGGCTTTTTTCCAAGGTGCGCTATATTCTTCTACTTCTATATATGGAAGTGTTACATTTAGTACCTTTCTGAGTCGCAAGGCTTTTATGCTATACTGAGCTTTATTAGTGTTTGTCAGCTGAGGTCAGTTAATTTCTACCCCTGGCATGGGCAAGAGTGTTCATGTTACAGGCAGGATTACATAATTTAGAATAGATCTATCTTGTTGGCCAAAGCAGGAGAAAGTTGGGTGAAATCGGTTGAAATACTCAAGTTCTCAAAATTGAGTCTAGAATGACACTACAGTCTATTATGTCGCACAAAGGCATATTATTCTATGAAATATTAGATCTAATGCTTTCAGGTGGGCTGGAAACTATTGATTTTAATTTTCAAAACAGATAGTTGTGTTTTTAATTAATTATATGATATATGTATCAACTGACTGCAGGGTACATTCATTATTAATAACTAACTGGGTTGACTCTCGGGTCAGACTGGAACTTCTCAAAAGGCAGACTTGCCCATGTCTGTTGCCTGTTGTACTATGTGCTTGTGATCTGTTCTCACAGCGAGCGTGAAGACATATTTCTCTTGTTATGCCTGGAAGACTTGTTTATCGTGAGGCTATACAGTATCATTACTTATCAGTTTAAAGGACTATCGGGTATTGAGAAAACTCCCCCTCCCCGCAACCCCCCCCCCCCAAAAAAAAAAACCCCAACAGATTAAAATTGATCTCACTCTCAAAGCATCTTTTTGTAGTTTGTGGTAATACTGTCAATATTGTGTCAGACGGCCACCCATTGTTTAGAAAAGCTGCTATTTAACATAGTCTTTATTATGTTTTTTTTAAAATGCTCTGATGGGAAGTGGAGAGTGGCCATCTGTACAGGTGATTGTGTTATAATGCTTGTGGACTTTAGAGGAGATTCAACTGTATTTGATACTCTTATGTGTCCCTGCCAGTTGATATCAGTCATGTGAAGGAAATTTCAAAACTGAGTTAACATAATTTTAAAAAACTATCACCTTTTCCCTACAATTTAAAACAAGAATGAAGTAAATATGACAATATTTGACGAAAATACAGAACTTTTAATTGTGCGAGGCGAGGAAACACGAAAAGGAGAAAATGGCATCCGAAGTTGAGCAACATGTTTCCATAGCAATGGGGGTCTTAGAATTGAGATGGAGACTTTTAATTTAGCAGTTATCTTGGCTATGCCAATACAAGGTAACACACAGAAGTAGAAAACTATTCATTCATAGGGACAAGGCAAAATTTTCACGAGAATGGACTTCACGTCAAAGTGTAACAAAGTATTATTAGCATTATACTAGGTACCAGATACTAAATTTTCAAAGTAGCTGTAAGTCAAATTCATCTGTTTCATATGAAAGGCCTATGTCTCCTGAGAATTTTGGTACCCTATTTTTACCTCTCACTCTCTATTTAAGGGAATGGAAGCTGTTTCAATTGAACATGATAATCAAATATTGCCGAAGTCGCTAACTGGCTGCAACCTCATGATTGACAGATAATAAAAGAGTACCAAGTGCACCAAACATCTCTGCATTAAGAGAGTACAATCATTATAACAAAGAAATGAAGCCTAATTTTTTTCAAGACTGTGAGATCATTACAAATCAGTATTTTATTGCCTCAAACACGATAATCTGTCGTAATTTCAATAAAAACACTGAATATTGTCTCGGAAGGCGTTGCATCGGCCCCCGTGGCGAGCGAGTCGGCTCTATACTGTAGTATACTGGGTGCTCCCCAGAGTTTTGCAGAAGGATTCATGCAAAATAATTCCAAACCGATGACTTAATTCTAAAAGAAAAAGAACTTCTTTCTATTTGTACAGTGGATGCCGCATTCAACAAGGTCACATTCAACGAGAAGTCGGCTCCAACGAGGCAATCCTTAATCCCCGATTTTTTTCCTCTATGTCTCTTTGTAAATGTACGTGGTCTCCAACGAGGTTACAAACAGACCGAAGTCGCTTTCAACGAGGTCTCGATAACCAAATAAAAGCAATTAGCTGCCCCAAAAGCGAAGAATTTTCTCCTTTCTCTCCGTCTCACGTGAAGCACAAGGCCCGCCACCGATTCCTAACACCTAACACATTGTATTGCTAGATCGAGTGTGCCTCATAATAGTAGTATGGGCCCCAAAGCCAAGAGGATGGGCGAGGGTTCGCCTTCGGTAGGGATGGGAGGAAACGCGATGCAAGCTGTGTGAAACTGGATGAACTCTGGATGGGTAGGTCTAGATTGAGACCTTCATTTTTTTTTCAATTTTCTTTTCTTCCTCTAATCAGAAAATCCAAGCTCTCGCCTTTACTTTATGTAGATCTAGGCCTAGATGTGAGAGGGCATGTTTCCTTATGAGAAGTGTTCCGGAAAAAAATAATTTTAAAATGCAGAAATGAGGGTTAGAACTCAGCTCAAACCGGCACACACTGATGCTTTTTGAGATTTTCGTCATCAGGGGGAACGACTGTTTTAATTACTGGTATTGGTGCATCCTATAATGAATAATACAATGGAACTCAGATTCAACGAGATGAGATAGATTCCCCGTTTTTATTCTTCTTTAAAATCAATAAAAATAACGCGGATTCAACGAGCACTTAAATCAGCGAGCTCGGATTCAACAAGGTCGCTTCCAGGGTGAACAGCCCCTGCAGACGTGGCTTCACTCTTTTTTCTCCCACAACGAACTTTATCTTTTCCCAGAAACCATCCATTGCACCTGCATCGTGAACCGTTATACACTTAGCCGATTGCATGCGACCAACCGGCGGCCTTTTTTCATACCAACACATCCGTTGTTGGCACGCGCACGTGTCTACTCTGGTGTGTGTCTGGGTTGGATGGGCGGCCTGCACATGTGTGGCTGTGTGTGCGTGTCGGGAAGAGGGGGGGGGGGGGCACTAGCAGTCCGGGCGTTGAACGTCGCAGATATGCTTGGCTTTTCATGGCAACACAACTTTTTGGTAAACAATCGAGATGACACAGGCGTATTTAAACGAATCGGTCCTTTTTTTTTTTTTTTTTTTTGCACAGCTCATAATATGCAGGCATTTCAAGCACTACTTGTGACTTCTCTTTATACATTACTTGCTCAGTGCCTGTAATTATCTACACAAAACCTCATGTTTGCTATAACGAACACTCGGATTCAACGAGGTTTTAGGCCAGGCCCGGCGACCTCGTTGAATCCGAGTTCTACTGTATAACTTGTCTCATTTTCTTTACTTTAGCCTTAGTCACCTTCAACGAGGACAACAAGCCGGTCCCGGCTACCTCATTGAATGCGACACCCGCTGTACCTTTTTTAGACGGTATTTTACACATTTCGTGTTAAAAATGATTTGAAAACCTAGACGCCTTTTTTTCCAAAGTTTTCTGTCCAAACGCCAAAAATAATAACTACGGGAAACCACGCTCAAAGCTGCATAATTCTCTGCCAATGAAAAGACGGTATTTAATCATCAATCTTTCTGCAAAGCATTCAAATGCATGGGTGTCAATTTTGAAGCGTCCCACCTCGCCTTCCAACCGCGTGGGACTTCCTTTTCCACTGCAATTCTCTAGCTCCAAATAATCGGATATACAAACAACTTACACTATTATAATGACGAAAGTCTGGAGTTTTTCAAAGTGTTCAGCATTTAGTGTTTTTTTGCAAAAGAGCAAAGAAACAGAGATATGAATTTCCCCCTATTTCACCGAAACCACACTCTCGGAAGGCCGCGGGGCAGCTTACATGCCGTGTTTACGCTACCTAATTATACATTTGCAGTAGCACCATTAACACACGAGAGCACACACACTCACACACATGCACATAGACCGCCTCGTGGCCTCTTGGTAAGGAGTCCGCTTTGAGGGATCTAGAGGAAGAAGGTTAATTAATCTTTTTAAGTCTCTCCCAGTGTAAAACTGAAAGATCAACAGACGATAACAGCTAGCAGGGCATGCCCACACAGCCAGCAGTTTACGTAAACAAGCTTGAAGTGAGCAAGAAGTTACCGTTTTTACTCCGTTTTACCAATCAGAGTTGTTTACATTTCTGACCATTCATGCTCGAAAAGGGATCAAATTCTAAAAATAGTTGCGAATGAAGAACGTTGAAGCAAAGATACTCCACTAGTGGAGAATCTTTGGTTCAAGCACAGGTGGTCATGAGGTAATGGTTCTAAAAATAATCTCACAGCTACACATTAGCAAGGTCCAAATCCCTTCATCTCGTCACCCAAGCTCACAACAAACCACACATATCTCCAAAATAAATCAAAATAAAATATTTATAGTCGATTATAGTGGTTTATTTTTATCTTAAATGAAGCGGAAGACATCAAACTTTCAATATATCCTAAAAACAAAAATTTCATTGAAAGTCACTTTTTTGTCTTTCGAGCCTCTTAGCTGATAACAGCACAGTGCATCTTACGACTGAGATTGAGCGGGTCAGACAGATATGAGCACACATAAACACTTATCAAACATGGGAAAAGGCATAACTAGTAAGTCTGGAACCATTCTCCTTGTATTCACAGTGAACACTCTGGCCACGGAGAAACTGTATGAGTTGATTGGTGAGTGGAGTGGTGTGGGCAGCAACACTACTGTGCTGGATGTTTGCTGTGGGACTGGAACCATTGCTCTTTCTCTAGCTAAGGTGAGTACGCTATCAGTTGATAAGCACAGTTAGGTCTTGGTTTAATTTTTTAGGCTTTCAATTTATTCAATATCAACTAAATATAGACTAAAACTTGGTTGTTACGAAACTGATGGGGGCAAAAGCTAGTGGCTTCAACTTTTGTTCTCTTATAATATTGTAGGCCTCAGAGTGCGGATAAACCCTTTTCCGATATTTCAAGTATTTTGTTTTGCACGATAAATGTAGACAAGGTATTCTTCTTCTTTTTTGAATTATCTCTTGCCTAATGACAGCCACTTGTCCCTTTTCCAAAGACATGTCTCTTGCCTAATGACAGCCACTTGTCCCTTTTCCAAAGACATGTCTCTTGCCTAATGACAGCCACTTGTCCCTTTTCCAAAGACATGTCTCTTGCCTAATGACAGCCACTTGTCCCTTTTCCAAAGATATGTCTCTTGCCTAATGACAGCCACTTGTCCCTTTTCCAAAGACATGTCTCTTGCCTAATGACAGCCACTTGTCCCTTTTCCAAAGACATGTCTCTTGCCTAATGACAGCCACTTGTCCCTTTTCCAAAAACATATCTCTTGCCTAATGACAGCCACTTGTCCCTTTTCCAAAGACATGTCTCTTGCCTAATGACAGCCACTTGTCCCTTTTCCAAAGACATGTCTCTTGCCTAATGACAGCCACTTGTCCCTTTTCCAAAGACATGTCTCTTGCCTAATGACAGCCACTTGTCCCTTTTCCAAAGACATGTCTCTTGCCTAATGACAGCCACTTGTCCCTTTTCCAAAGACATGTCTCTTGCCTAATGACAGCCACTTGTCCCTTTTCCAAAGACATTTTTTATTTATTTATTCTAAGAGTATCTTCTGTTTAGGGGTAGGAATTCATTTTGAATTTTCCTCTGACAGCAGCCCAAAGGGCGTATTCTTTTCGTTTTAGAAATCTTAGAATCAGGCAGTGTAGAAAACATGAGAAAAATTACCCAACGCTGGCGGGGATCAAACTCTGGAAACTGCTCAAGAACAAGGGGCAGTGTGATGAGGGTGGTCTTTTTTTAGATCAGTTGTTTTCTTGTTTATCAGTCTTTTTTATTAATTTAATTTTCTTTGGAGTTTGTGTGTAGCAACTACAGTGGAGTCGGCTTAAATCGAAATCTGCGGGGCCCCTGGATTTTCTTTGGTTTAGCGAGGTTGCTCAGATAGAAGGAGAATAAATGAAATAGGGATTTTCTTTGCTTTCAGTTTACCACTGGGTGCAGGTGTACCAGGTTCGGTGTAAGCGGACTCCACTATATATATTTTTTTTGCTGTGCATTTGTCTACTGTTGGTATCAGCTTTTGGACTTGGAATATATTTTTTCGTTTCTCCCATCAGAAAGTGAAGGCAGTCATTGGCATTGAAATGTGCCGTGAAGCCACAGATGATGCCAAAGTCAACGCCTCCATCAATGGTTTGTATCATGCATATAATGCTATTTGTTTTTCTTACAATACGTAGATAATGATGACAGTGATAATGATTATAGGGTAAAAATAAGAATTTGATGGCTACATGAAAGACTGATAAACGACGTTTTCCTTTTCTTTTTCTGTCTCTGCTTTTCCCCTGCCTAAATGGCCGTTGTTGTGTTGTGTCAATATTCTTCTCTTTACTCAAATTATAAACTAAATAAAGAATATGAAGAGGTCTCATCCTTTCTTACATCATGGTGTATAAATCCGAATTTTTTTTTTTTAGTGTACATTTTTTGTTGACATCTAGAATCCACCTTGGGAATGTAGCGGGTTTGACTGCTGCAATTTGTGTGTTTGCATTGCTTGGCAATATCATGTGTGAGTATACCATAGACTTTTAATTGTTTTCCCTTGTTCTGATCTGATCATCCAGGTTGAAAGAAGTACCAAGTAAGAAAAAAGTTTATTACAAAAATCTGTAAATTACGTCCTTTGAAAACATTAAAACAGTGATCAAGACGAATAAATACTGAGTAGCTGATAGGTTTTCACCCAGTGTCTTTCATTTGACCTTCATGTGGCAGTTAATCTTAAATGTTTCAGGAATTATTAGTAAAATGTGTTTTCATTTTGAAGGTAAATGGTAAATGAACTTGTTTTTTACATCAATTTCAATCATCGAGTGTGTAAAGAAACCTAGTTGATCAGGTCAGAATGAGGGAAATCGATTACCGGGTAAAAGTGATGACCAAAATGCTGAAATTAGTGAAATATTAATTATAGGGATAACTGTCTTTAGGAAATTTCGTTTCAAACGGTCATGTCTCCACCAGGTATCACCAACTCGATTTTCCACTGCGCTCGCGTGGAGGACATCATTGCCACCACTATGTCCTCGCTGCCGTCCCGTGATGATGTGGTCGCGGTAGTGGATCCACCACGTGCTGGTTTACGTAAGTCTCGTCTATATTTTGTTCTTCGACATTTTATAAGTGTTACAAAAATTTCAGGTGCATTTTTTTATAAACATTCAAACTGCAGAATCTTTCAATAGCATTATCATACGATTAACCAAACAAAACCTGCTTCTGTTGCAATGTTAACTGACCTTTTTTATCATTTTGGAAAAGCATCTTTCAAGTGAGTACTGTATAATCCGCTTATATCGACATGCTTTAGGAAGTGGATTTGATGTCGATAAATGAAAATATAAAGCCGAAGAGGAAAAACATGGGGAGGTCAGCGGTTAGAAGACAACACTACTTTTTAAAGCTGGTTGCTTCCCTTGATTCTTACACAACTACACAGTGAAACTGAAATTAACAACAAGATGCAGAGGGGAGGGGGGTTGGAGTTACGGTACCAAAGACTGCAAAGTGAGGCCCACCCTGCACACCAGCGCAAACTTTGTTGTAGCATCCTTTGTAAGGCCTGTTAATGGCGGCTTGTTGGGGAAAATGGAAAAGCGAGGCACTGACTCACTGACCGTAGCACACTTGCATGCGACAGACTGAGAATGGGATGGGGAAGGTGAGTGAGTGATCGGGAGTGGGGTAGGGAGGTGATGCCAACGCACGAGACGCTCATGTCTGTGAGGCACTGTACTGTGTTGGAGACTACACTGTGTAGGCCCTACATGACCTACTAATTTAAACTAAAGCCTGGTGTGTTGAATAGGCTACTTGGCGGGTATGCGGACTTAATGAAGAACTAATGCGTTGAACGTTAAGTGTTCTGGATTTGATTAGGTTGCCCTTTATGAAAAAAGTTCAAATGTGTGAAAAAGCTTCAAGGAGTTGAAGACTGCTATACCCATGGAGACTGAATGCTTGCTCTGTGTCTGAATACATGCAGCAAGTTTTTTCTAACAGTTCATGAAACATCATCTCTCTAGTATTTAATTGAGTGTGCGAATCTTTGTCCTTAGATGTCAAAGCCGTACTAGTTATCCACATACTTTATTTTTATTAAAAAGTAAACTAAGCAAAACTGATTATTCAGTCACAGGAATGGGAGAAAAGCTTGATTGTTACACATATTGGAGCAGCAAAAAGTAATTGCCCATTCCTCTGCTCTGGGGGAAGGGGATGAAAAATAAAGTGTCCCCAACATATATTCTCAGTCTCAGTAGGCCTATGTGAATGATAGAGGGTTTTGACATCTTTGGTGATAATTCTTAGAAGGACAAGCTTTCCATGCAAATGTTTCTCTCCAGTAATTTGTTGCTGCCTTTTCAAATTACAGATAAAAATGTGATCAAGACCTTGAGGAAAAGTTATGGGATACAAAGGCTTGTGTATGTGTCCTGCAATCCAGAAAGTGCAATGGAAAATTTTGTCGAGTGAGTTTGCAGTTTTGTCTTGTTACACTAAATCCTGCACAGTGAACACACACATGGTCATAAACAGTTTGGCCTGGATAACTCAAACATGTCTAGGGCTGACAAATGTGTTTGACACATCCATACCTTGGGCTAACTGATGACGAAAAATTAAAAGAGATATCAGTCGGGGAAATGGCAAATTGTACAAGCTATCTGTAGTTTTGAGTTTTCTGTGTTCATGTTATCTGTGCCTGACTGTATGTGGTGTAAATTTAGAATTTAGCTGTCATCTGTAAGGAATCTTACGTGAATGTTTCCTGTAAATTCAAGGGGCCAGTGCTCAAAGGGTTAAAACAAATTGTTAAGACAAATGATTTCAAGTCAAGGTTTTATTCATCTTTGGTTTTGAAAAAATATATTTTATCCACAAACTTTGTTTGAAATGAAACATTCTGTTATAATAATGAATGGTTCTTGCACATTATATGTGTAGGATGCAGAATAAAATGTCCCAAGAATAACTTGTAACAACAATTGTATTTATATATCCACTCAATCTGACAGTGGTAAAAATGCAAACAGAATGAGTAACAAATGAGACCAAGGTGAAGAAAAAACAAAATAGACAAATTTCATGTTAATATTTAAATGGCATTGCAAGTCCTCAAAGTCAGTCTACATAGATGTGAATAGTTTATAAATTTGATCAAGTCGCTCCTCTGACCGACTTCTCAGGTCTGAACTGTAAGGTGATTGTTTGATGTTCAAAGTACCCAAGACCTCACAGGACTGAAATTTTCCCCTACATGATTCCTGTTCTCCTCAGTTTGATCCGACCTGCTACAGGCAAACTCAAAGGCCGACCCTTCATGATGGTGAAAGCTGTACCTGTTGACCTTTTCCCCGGCACAAAGCACTGCGAGCTTGTCATTCTTTTCCAAAGAGAAAAACAAGAAGATGGTGAAAGCAACAAAGAAGAGAGTACCACTGTGAAAGATGGTGACTCTGGCTGTGTTCAGGAAATATGTGCAAAGGATGATGGGTCACCACACCATAGAGAGAAAGAGAAGGATGAGCAGGAAGAGAAAGAGAGGGGTGAGCAAGGAGAGAAAGATGAGGATGAGGAACAAGGAGAGAAAGATGAGGATGAGAAACAAGGAGAGAAAGAGAGAGATGAAAAATAGATGTGTTTACGATTCTGTTCTGTCCACCTTCTGTGTTTAAAGCAGGAATGTTTTCATGAACATTACTCCAAACTTGTTGAGCCTTGCTTTTATAAATAAAGCATTTTGATAAAGTGAGCACCATGGTTTGGAAAGAGATTGTTTTTGTTTTAGTAAGGTTTTACGATGCCCGCAACTGCAAAAAGTCATATGAGCGCCAAGGGGTTGATGTCAACAGAGAAGTCCAAAGGGGAATCAGGCTTACTCTGCTCACCTCTCTAGCCTCAACAGCACAAAGTCTGCTTCGACTATCAAGGCACCCCGATAATAGCAGTTCCCAAGAGAGTGACAAACATACAAAAGAAGTAGAGGAAAAATGACGATAGTAAGGATGAGGAAAGAAAAAGCAGTACAGTGGAAACCTGATATAACAGGGATGGTGGGAGTAGAGAAAAGGTCCTGTTATATCCGATCCCTGTTAAATCCGAAATGCAAGAAAAGTGGGCATTTGTGGACTAATCTAGCTGTACTTATTCATGGGTAATTTCCCTAGCCACAAGTACCCACGAACAGGGGTTTTGGCACCGACTTTCTCCTTGCGTCCTTAAACCACATCAGAAGAGCTTGGTCCACAGCATCTACATCGGGTAGTCTCATCTTCTTTCGATCCAGCGCAAACTTTTCATTGGAGTATGCTACCACTATCTTCTCTCTATCCTTGATATTGGTGGGAATCGACCCTTGTGGAATGTCAAACTTACGACAAATCTCTGCCAGTGGAACTTTTCTTTTTCTCAAAAGTCTGGATTATTTCGTATTTTTTGTCAATTGAAAAATTGAAAGGCATTTTCTCTTGCGCTTGACATGGTTGGTGACCATAATGAAAGAAGTAGGCTTAGTAGATCTAGGCCGACCGGTTGTCCCCCCCCCCTCTCTCTCTCTCTTTCTCTCTCTCTCTCTCTCCCTCCCTCTCTCCCCCTCTCTCTCTCTCTCTCTCTCTCTCTTTTTACACATTGTTAACAAGCCTTTGTCCCTGCTATAACCGGTTGGGCTCCGATGAGGCCCTGTTATTGCTGATAACTTTTAGTAGAGTATAGAGACAAAGAGTAGGAAAAAACGGGGATTTTAAACATCCCTATTATTACCGGATCCCTGTTATTACCGGGCCTGTTATATATGGTTTCCACTGTAGTTCCCCCTAAATTGTTCTGGCACAGTATGAGAGCATGACGTTGATAAATCAACCCATTTACAATTCTACTGTGCATAAGAAATTATTTTTCTACATATTAATATCCCCCCTTTGGGAATGGCCGAAAGACACTTCAGTCAGTAGCACTGTTTAACTACACATGATACTAACTACAGGGCTCATGACTCCTTCAAAAATAATACATTGCATTTGACCAAAAAGGTGAGAAAACAATACTCCCTACTCCCTCGATTCTTACAACACACTCGCACATCTTTAAATTCTTACATTACTTTTCCTTATATTGGCTTTACTACAGTAGAGTCCACTTATAACGAGAAGTCTGTTATAAAGACGCTACAGTAGAACTTGGATTCAACGAGGTCGCCGGGCCTGGCCTAAAACCTCATTGAATCCGAGTGTTCGTTATAGCAAACATGAGGTTTTGTGTAGATAATTACAGGCACTGAGCAAGTAATGTATAAAGAGAAGTCACAAGTAGTGCCTGAAATGCCTGCATATTATGAGCTGTGCAAAAAAAAAAAAGACCGATTCATTCAAATGCAAACGTCTGTGTCATCTCAATTGTTTGCCAAAAGTTGTGTTGCTGTGAAGAGCCTAGCATACGCCAACTTTTGATTCCATAGACCAGCACACAATTCATTACGTAGATCTACGTCAAGACTAGGCTAGCTTATCATTGTAATATTTATCAGTTGCCTAGAGAAAAAAAAAGACTGTGACGCGTTTGTATCTGCGACGTTCATCGCCCGGACCGCTAGTGCTCCCCCCCCCGACACGCACACACAGCCACACGTTGTGCAGACCGTCCATCCAACCCCGACACACACCAAAGTAGTCACGTGCGCGTGCCAGCAACGTATGTGTTGGTATGAATAAAGGCCGCTGGTTGTTCGCAAGCAATCGGCTACGTGTATAATGGTTCACGATGCGGGTGCAATGGATGGTTTCCGGGAATAGATAAAGTTCGTTGTTGGAGAAAAAAGAGTGAAGCCACATCTGGGGGGGGCTGTTCCCCCTGGAAGCGACCTCGTTGAATCCGAGCTCGCTGATTTATAAGTGCTCGTTGAATCCGGGTTATTTTTATTGATTTTAAAGAAGAATAAAAACAGGGAATCTATCTCATCTCGTTGAATCCCAGCTCGTCGAAACCGAGTTCCACTGTATTCTAAAACCCTGTTTTTTTCCCTTCTGTGTCTTTGTAAATAAAATACAGCACATAGGAAAGTTATGCGTGGTAAAACCTCACCAGTTGAGATTGAGAAACTTGTTGGTGATCTGGCGAAACCAAGGACCTTACATCAACTCCTTGAGCGAAACAAAGAATGGGAGAGCCCACGTGTGCCAACAATAAAGGCCGGAGCGAATGAGTGGGGAGGGTGTGGTATGCGCAGACAAGCAGAACGCATCGCGTGATAGGCCAGCCTAGTCTAGATTATCTAGTCCTATCACTACAATGCCTCTCACTTCTCCGATGTGGGGATTGAGAGGTCACAGTGCTGTGATAGATGGAGCAAATGTGTGACGCATGCAAGCAGATGGAACGCACCTCGGGGTGTGGTGTGGTGGGGAACAACACAGCAGGCGAGTTAGCCTAGAGCCCTTTCTGTCAACATTGCAAGCGCTGGAGATAGAAACCGGATTTGATTTTTGATAAAGTAAGGCCAAGAGGTCATGTCGAACAATACATCATCAGGGGAGATAACAAAAAGATATAAACAGAACTCGTAGATTAGGCCTACTGTATTATTTCCTTTGAATTTATTACTGGATCCCTACTTATAATGAGAATCCAGGTACTATAACGCGTATTTCGCATCTGTCTCCTCCCTGTCGTTATAACAGAGGAAAAATCTTCAAATTGGAACTTTTAGTTGTCAAGGGTCTAAATGAAAAGTGACAGCTTTCAGTAATGTGTGTTGACGTATGTGTCCCTGCCGGTCAATATCATCAGTCATATGAAGGAAATTTCAAAACTAAGTTATAATTATTTTTTTAAAACAAGAATGAAGTAAATATGACCATATTTGGCGAAAATACAGAATTTTCAATTGTGCGAGGTGAGGAAACACGAAAAGGAGAAAATGGCCTCTGAAGTTGAGCAACATGATGTTTCCATAGCAATGGGGGTCTTAGAATTGAGGTAGAGACTTGAAATGTAGCAGTTATCTTGGTTATAATGCCACTACAAGGTAACAACATAGAGAAGTAGAAAACTATTCATTCACAGAGAAAAAACTTATGGACAAAACAAAATTTTCAAGAATGGGCTTCACGCCAAATGCAACAAAATATTACTATTAGCATTATACTAGGTACAAGATACTAAATTTTCAAAGTAGCTGTATGTCAAATTCATCGGTTTCACATGAAAGGTCCCATGAAAATTTTAGTACAGTGGAGTCCACTTATAACGAGTCCTGAAATAACAAGAAGTCTGTTATAAAGACACTATTCTAAAACTCGTTTTTCCCCCTTCTTTATGTTTGTAAATAAAATACTGCAATAGCGCAATCAGACAAACATGCAAGTCGGTTATAACGGAATATTGCTGCTGCTGTGCACAGCGCATAGGCCAATTATGCATAACGTAAAACCTTGCCATTGAGACTGGTTGGTGATCTAGCGAAACAAAAGAATGGGAGAGCCCATGTGTGCCAACAATGAAGGCCGGAGCAAATGAGTGAGGCAGTTATGGCATGTGCAGACAAGCAGAACGCATCGCATCGTGTGATACTAGGCCAGCCTAGTCTAGATTATCTAGGCCTACCATGCCTCTGACTTCTCTGATGCAGGAATGGAGAGGTCACAGTGCTGTGATGGGATGGAGTGAGTGTGTGACGTGGGCAGGGTTTGGTGTGTAACCAATATGCGCAAGCAGACGGAACGCACCACAGGGTGTGGTGGGGTAGGAGACAACACAGCGGGCGAGTTAGCCTAGAGTCCTTTCTTTCTGAGTGCCAAGTCCGAGCTGTCAACATCGCTTTTGCTAGAGAAAGAAACCTGATTCGATTTTTGATAAAGTAAGACCAAGAGGTCGCGTTGAACACAATCATCATCAGGGGAGATAATACAAAGATACAAACAGAACACCGAACTCATAGATTAGGCCTACATTATTATTTCCCTTGAATTTATCACTGGATCCCTTATAATGAGAATCCTGCTATAACGGCTATATTGCACCGGTCCCCTCCCTCTCGTTATAACAGGATTCCACTGTACCATCATACTTTAACCTCTCAGTCAGCGTTTAAGAGAATGGCAGCTGTTTCAATTTAACATAATAATCAAATATTGCTTAAGTCGCTAATACTAATTGGCTCCAGCCCAATGTTTGACAGATAATAAAAGAGTACCAAACATCATTACTCAGAGTACAATCATTATAACAAAGAAATGAAGCGTAATTTTTTTCAAGACCGTGAGATCATTACAAATCAGTATTAAACAAAATGAACAGGGTCCAACCAATAGACAGAGAAAGAATTTTATGGAGCCATTGTTTTAGCGAATCATGGGGTTGAGGAGGGGGGGAATTTATGGGGGTCACTAACTGAGGTCAGTTGATACAGCAGCGCAACAAAGGGTGTGGGGCGGAGAGGATGGCGGAACAACAAGAGTGGGACTCGCGCTCGCCAAGTGGCGTTGATATGACACGACACTGTTCCATTTCAGTCAGAGTTCCGCCACAGTTCTACGAGCGCTTGCGTACTCACGATTCTTTGAAGCCGACTGAATCGCGAATCGCCACTCTCAAATTTGGCGAGCAGGATCCAGCCCTACTTGGTAGGATAAGCCGAGTAGGGCTGCATTGTTTCGTCATCGCGTCGTTGATTACTGTTGCGATATATGCTTATCTTGTCAAATTGTTTGCTTTGAAAAGGCACCTTTTGATTGGTGCAGACTAAAGACTGCGCAATTAAATTATCTGGGTACCGGTAGGCTCATTACCGATCGAATTCGAAAGCGTTGCTCATCATGTTTCTCATTCACAATTTATCAATTTCAGATTCTCTCAAATTTCAAATTCAAGTCAACAGGCATAGATCTAACTTATCTGATCTAAAAATTGGCGAAAAAAGAAAAATCTCTGTCGCTTCACAGCTGATGCCATACCACTGTTCACATATCCCTCGAACTACGGATCCCTCGAACTACCGAGGCCGGTCCCGACAAATTTAAGTAATCCATGTTATACTGTGTACGTATATATATATATATATATAATATATGTGTGTGTGTGTGTGTGTGTGTTACAAGTGGGCTAAATCTAGACAGCAAGCCCACTAGTACAAGCACAGAGACATGAGACTGCGGTCCCAGCAAATGAACTTAGCTGAAAATCAGTTCTGACAGTAGAAACGCACACCTTCTGGCAACAAAGGAGTTAACAAGGAGAAGAAGTTGTTTGGGTTTATTTGGTCAAAATCATGCATAAGACAGTAGATTTATATTTCTCAACATACAAAGTGGTAATAGAAATCCACACTTAATTTTAATAGCCATTAAAGGCATTAAATTCAGGCATTAGACAGTTGATTTGAATGTCTACAAAAAATAAAGTGGGAACTTTTAAATAGCCATTACTTTTAAAGTGACAGGGGCAATAACACTTCAAGTGAAACAACCTCGATTTCAATAGCCATTTCTTATATCACTTTTAAAGCAACATGAGAAAAAGGCTGGATCTTTTTTTTTGTCAAGTTAAAGCATAAAACAGAAGATTAAGATTTCTACAACACACAAAGTGGTGATTGAAATCAGCACATAGTTTAGAAGTAATGGGTGAAAAGTTGGGGGGGTCAATTCAGGGCAATAGCACTTCATGCGACACAAGCTCAATGTTATTCTTCTTGTAAAACTCCATCATCTCAGGACTGCTCAAGACCTGTATCTCGTGCACCCGGTCCTGTGACGCGCCGAAATCGTCAGTTCCCCACGAGAAGCCGCCGTAGTCTCTGCTGGTCGGGTGGCCAGGGTGGGTCATCAACTCACAGGTTGCAGGACGCTTGTGGTCCCCTCCAAGTCTCTTCTCCACATCTTCAAAAGCTTCTAGGATGATCAACTGCAGTCTCTCTGCTGTCATATCTGAACCCATGGTAGACAGGCCCACAAATGCATCCGTTGATCTGGGGGAAATGTTCCAAGCCATCTGACAAAAATGTTCAATAGAAACAGAGCTATGCTGTTTGTAAAACAGTCTAGCACACTCACACTCACAGTAAAAGACACTCATAGATCTAGCTGAGAGATTCCCAGGTCCCAAGTTGGTTGTTTTTAATACATGTATTCCTTGTATGAAGTAAAACATGTACATAGAGAAATTTGTACATAACGAAAAGATTTCCGCATCCCATCAATTTCACTACACTACGTGCATGCTAGACTGTATTCATATAATATACAAGGCTTCTGAAAATAGTTTTTTATTTGTTCTTTTTTTTTTTTATGTTCGCCCCTAGTAATTTGAGTATATAGATGACACTGCCATGGTCAAAACATTTCAAGATGAAATCTCTTGGCTCCCCTTTGACAAATACACGTCACGTCTACAAAGTGAACCGGTATAAGTATAAGGCAGAAACTTGTCAGGTGTGGAAACCGAATCAAAGATTCTTCCCTTTTGATAATTCTTCTTGTCATGAAGCATATTTTCTCAGACTGCAACCTGGCTCTTAACAGATACACCTGGAGGCACAATGAGGTGCTGAAAGTGCTCACTACAATGGCGACAAAACAGGTGGAAGAAGGAAAATACGCCCCCAAGCTACAAAAGCATGGACTCACCAAGATTGCGTTCGTTCCGCAAGGAAGCAAGGTTCCCAACAGAAAGAAAGCGAACGAAGCCATGGAAGACCAAAGCGGAGGCACATGGGAGGTAGCTGCTGACTTAAGGGCTTTGAGAGATTCTTCCCCATCCCAACTACGAAAAAGCCAGATTTGGAGTTATGGGAGGAAACGGAGAAAAAGGTGCACCTGGTAGAGCTCACGGTGCCCCACGAGGACAATATCTATGCCGCACAGGAGTGTAAAGAAAACCGTTACGAGGCATTCGTTGAACAATGTGAGGAGGCAGGATGGAAAGCAAGCCATTTTCCGGTAGAGGTAGGATGCAGAGGTTTCGTAGCAACTAGCGCCCGTAAGTGGATGAGAGTGGCAGGACTTACTGCAAAGAAAAGCAACCAACTCACAAACTCCCTTCAAGAGACAGTAGAGAAAGCCAGTCACTGGGTCTGGTTGAAGCGAGAGGACCCATGCTGGAATGAATCCTAAGAGTTGGCAGCAGAGGAAAACAGTCGAACTAGCATGGAGACCTCACATCGGTGAGGGGGCTCAGTGCGTCAGAAAAACTGTACAGAGGAAGAGCCCGAAACAGTGAAGCATTCTCTCCTGATGATCTCCATGCTAGAGTCCGGGATAGGGAGCATTCGACTGTGAGCAGTGAATACGGCTGTTTTAGACTACGTCTCTGCTTAAGAATTTTGTTTTTTAAGTAAAAAACTATGAGAAACGAGTAAGCTTAAGTCAACTGAGTAGACATTCCACATTTTATGATGTGTGTCATACGGAGTGGGAGTGGGAGGGAGGGGGAAAACTGGATGTGTTGATGCAAATTTTCCAATCAGTGATTTAGCATGGCTTTTGTCTTGCACATCAACATTGTATCCTTGTGGGGAGGCGAGACTTGTAACGTAACGAGTATTAATGTCTGAATGAAAAGTAGGCAGTGGGCGTTAGATCTACCCCGCCATATCTATGCGCGTTCTTTCTCCAAATTGTGGTAACCATTGAAATTTGTTTGTAAATAGTTGTAAAGCACTCAGAGCCTATTGTAGAACATGGTATGATCTAAATATAGTATAACCCGGATAGGTTGAACACAGAAGACTCGAAATCACGCATCCATCGAGCTGTACCTGCAATCCCTTTTTGTTTTCTTCACCTTTGTAAGAAAATTACGCCAAGCTCAAACACAAACACGGAATAGTCTAACTAATTACGCTGCAGTAGAGGAATAAAGTCAATATCCTTTGAGCGAGGTGCACTTAAGACTAATTAATAATAATAATAATTTTTTTAAAAGGAAAAAGGCAAGGTCGGTAAAATACAACCTTCCCCCCTCCACAGCAGCAACTAGCTGTTCTATTTTTAGCACGCTGCTCAACACATGTGTCTAGGATTGCAAGGAGCGGGCGAGAAGAAGGGTTGTGCATCACCACATGATCAATAGTTTTGCTCCTAAAGTAGCAATCATCGTTGCTTCCCTAGATTCTACAACACAACTGATGCCATGACACTGTTCACGTATCCCTCAAACTACGGATTCCTCGAACTACAGAGGTCGATCCTGACGAATTCGAGCTATCCGTGTTATACTGTAAGTGCAATTATTATTTCTATTACACATTTTAAGCATCTCAAAAGATGTCTAGTCAACCTCCATCTAATAGGAGTAACAATACTAATGTAGGCTACTAGAAAAAGAAAGATAAAAAGATGAGGTGCAAAATATTACTGGAAAAGAAAGGGGTTGATAACAGATAATATAAATCAATAGTATCTATTGGTAAGTAATAAAAACAATTCCATTTGTTAATCTTTAGTTACAGTGTATGTAAATAATTTGATTCCTGTCTAGTATAACAGGATTCAGCTATATATATATAACAGGGGTATCATGTACGTCTCGGTGGTCTTGTTATTATAGCCGAGGCCCATTAAATAAACATACCTGATTCCATGCAAGTCCAGGATTGACTTGCACTGTTCTGCATTTTTCATCATCTCAAGGAAGAAAGGCTTGAACTCCGGATTCACCCACATCTTGGATGGAATATTCAACTCCACAGGATATCGAGTTATGTGCACACCATGACTCTTCAGAACGTCTGCAAATATCGGCCCAACCTCTGGGGAAGAGCCAAAACAAACATTAACATATATATAAATATAACATATACTGAGATACTGAACATATGTTAGAGTTTTACTAAAAAACTAAATTATGTTGAAAAAACTGTCCTCAAGATATATAAATTTGAGGTGTTGAGAGTTGCCGTTGGAAAAAAAAAGGACATATGTGTCGAAAATTCAATGGTCTTGTAAACGAATAGTCTCTCAGAAGAAGATTGTACCAATATCTGGTGTGATTGTCAGGCTCTGCCATTGAATGGTGACAAATTTGATTCTCTAAAGGGGCAGCCCATGTAATCAAGTGCAGTCAAAATGATCTAACACAGCCACCGATTGTTGCAGACAACTTTTTACTTTTACTTTTCCGATCCAGCCGCCATTTTGGTTCTAGCCCTTCGGTCTGTCGATATGGCAAAGAATTGACAGGTTTTAATCAGCTGTGCTTTGTCGCTGTATAGAGTGTTTCCGATGTCTGGGAGGCAGGTAGGTAGGTGCTACGCAGATCACAAAGTGCTGGGCAGTTAAAGAGGTGGTGTGGTACTGTTTCATCCTAGTAGTTGCACAACGGGCAGTCGGGTGGGGTATCCTTGCGGATCCTATTAAGGTAGGAATTTAGTGGTAGGCCTATGTGTTGTGTTCGCAGGCGAAATATCGTGACTTGTTCTCTTCTACTCAGGGAATTTATTGCATCTTTAGAGTTGGGGGCTGTCATGTGTGCAAATACAGTTCTTCCAGTTTTGCCCATTGCCCATCCATTCAGCCACTGTTCCCTGGTGTTGCATTTGATGATGTTCTTGGCTGTCTGTTGTGATACTGGGTTGTGTGGTTTTGTTTGTGTTGCTCCCTTCTTGGCAAGGGTGTCTGCTCTGTCGTTTCCTGGGATGTTGCTGTAGGCAGCCTGGGCTTTCGAAATTCATGTTTTCCAAGGCTTGGAGTACTGACTTTCCATCTGTGAAGATAATAGTGTTCTTGATTTTGCTTGGATGTATTATGAAAATGTTGGTCAGGTGGAGGATTGCTGCTTCAATGGCCATTGCCTCAGCCTCGTAATTTGTACAAGAAGTACCACATGCGTCAAATAGCTCTTCACATGTTTTGTCAGGATGTTCAATTCTTACCCCAAAGCCTGCGTTTATAGTTCCATTGTTGCAGAGAAAAATGGGTGTATTCAACAGGTGGCCGTCTCACACAGTCATTATACTGGGAAAAGATATGCAAGGGAAGAAATGGGAAGTGGCCGTCTGTAGAGGTGATCGTCATATACTGGTGGCCATTTAAGTACGGACTCTCGTATACCAGAAAACATTTACTTGACCCTTTTTGAGATTCAACTAACTCGGCTTTCAACACTTTGCCGTCACATCTCGGCGATCGGTGATGTTTACCACCCAGGTTCTTTGGGTTTACCCCAAAATGCCTTTGCTTTTGATGGCAAGGGTTTTTACTACCTGAGCCTTGTGATGGCAAAGTGTTAACGCTTAACACATGATCTCTGATAAAAGTTAAGGGAGAAGAAATCATCGGATGAAAAAGTTTTGCCAGGAGCTTGTGTGAGGAAAACGGTAACTCGGGGGAAAAAGGTAACAAGAGTAGATCAGCCTAAGGCACTCAACAATCCCCCATGTGCAGGACCAAAAAAATGATTTATTATTATATATGCAATTGCCCCACTAAAAAAAGTCCAAAGGGTACCCACAAAAGTGAAAGGGACTTCAAAGTTAAGATTGCCAGCAAGTCTTAATGATAATGTTGTCTGCGATGTAATGCTTCAGTTCTTCATCCACGCGTGGAGAAGACAATGGTTCGATTTCCACACATGAAAAATTTCTGTTGAGTTTCTCCATCTACGGAGTCTAATGAGTCTAATGCATAAAGGATCTAAATTGTTTTGATGGGACCCAAGATGTACAATTAAAGTCAGTCAATCAATCTTGTTTTTTTCATGGGGGGGTTCAGTCAATCGGTTAGTCTTAATCTCTTATGTCCACAAACCTGGATGCACATGAATGTGCTGATGCCCATCAACATAGACTGGCTTGGTCCCAAAGAGCTCAATGTATCTCGCCAGCTGACTTTCAATTTCCTTTCGAATCTGTCAAATATTGTTCTCAGTCAACTTTGTTTGAGTAGAAAGATGCACATGGACACAATGATGGTTAGTAAGTGCTGAGAAAAAGTGAGACAAGACACTCAGACATAAACAACAGAGGGAAAGTAAAGAAGTAGGACCTACCATTGATGCCCTCCAACTACCCCGCTCTCGTCAAAATTCAGACTATATGAAACATGACAAAAAAACATAACACCACATACATAAATTTACATTTTTACACTGAAAGCAAAGACACAGAGCAGGGATCAAAACAATGATTAGCCTTCTCAGAATACCATCACACCCTTTTAACCTCACCTTTTATTAGATCTACCTGTGCTACTAATATTACGACTTTATGACTTTATGAATGACGCAAATATCCACCATCTACAACTAAATACAAGTGGCATTGAATTTTCACATTTAATTGAAAACTGCTGTCATTCTTAAAAGAATTCAGTACAAAAATTGTTCAACATCATTAACATATATATTATAATGATATAGAGCTAACGTATCACAATACATGTAAATGGTTCTCAATCAACTCCAAAATCCTGACCAAGCCTAGAGGTTTTTGGAGTTATAGAAAAGTTGATTGGCACTGTGGTGGTCAAGTGGCACCTAGGGATGAAATAAGATGATAAACAGAAAAATATATAACGTCCAAGATCCACATGTTTTGAAAGAAATAAAATCAATGGGAAGCAACATCCACACACCTTTGACTATGTGCAGTGAAAAACAAATGAATAATAAGCAAAGCAGATAAGCTAGTAAATGGGCAGAAAATGGTGAAAATCTCAAAATGTAACAACAACCAGTATTACTTTCTGGGAAATTAAAAACGCATGAACAAATCAAAGGTTAATCTGAATTTTATAGCAATATCAACATTTCTAGGTCATGTGCAAGGACAATAGCAATGTTGAAAAAGATGTTGAGCAAAATGCCTCCTAGAAGTACCAAAAACATATTAAACAGTTCAGAAATTAGGACCTACTGGGGGAAAAAATGTACTTTGAAAATTATATTCAAAGACGATTTATTATTCTTCAGCATCCCTTTTTGCTCCTTTTATTTTGCAGGATGCAAAAAAACTCTGTTTTATTTTTTCACACATTCAATACCCACTTCCAATACCAATATATATAATAATATATTATATAAAAGAAGGAAGTACTTATGATTCAAAAGTAAAGATAAGTCAAACTAAGGAGGTGTCATCACAGGAGTTGAGAACTCTACAGATTACAGGATAAATGATGTAGAACAATGCTTGTCAGTCTTTTAATAGCCAACGCATTCTTTAGCCAACTTTGAGAGACTAAAATCTTCATTTCATACTACCCACCCTATGTATTTCCTTGTGGGGCGTAAAATAAACCCTATCACTACTAATATAGATTGTAAAGCCCAGAGCTTGCTGTTGAGTGGGAATTTGCGCAAAACAAATATTATATTTTTATTATCATTATTATTACCATTATTATTCTATAATGTCCCGTTGATCCCCATTGCCAACCAAAATTACCATATCACATCCCCCACCTGTGGGAGATATCACCCTGGTTGGCAAGCATTGGTGTAGAGTAAAGGGACCCAGAGTTCGACCAGGACAAGTACATAGCCAAGTCAAAAAATAGGAGAGGTAAAGAGTGTAAGGACTGATAATATACCACTGAGTAGGTCAAGCAGTGCCGTATGATAACATAATTTTATCACCATGTAACATGTCAGAATGTATGCTCAGATGGAAGGCCAGTAACATGCAGCAGTTGCAGTGTGACCAAACGTTTGAATTGCTGATCCCACCCAGAAGACATTGAGAAAAGTCATGGTTTTTTTAAGAAACGATAACAGAAAGCTACCAGCATCACAAAATAATAGATATCTATGATTGTAAATGACTGTTTATTATTATTATTGTGCCATTAAGCTATTTATGATCCCAACTCCAATCAATGCAGTTAAGATCATAAAGGAGGAGCGTTGTTTCGACCCTGCATGTCAGGGTTAACCTGAGCTGAGACCGAGTGGAAGATAGCTTTCCTGCAGGCATACGGAGATAGCTATCTTGTAAAATAGCTTCCACTCTCGGTAGTTGAACTTGTCTCCTGCATGAAACGATGAAAATCCTAACCATTTCTTCTGAGACAACAAAATTCTTTGGTATAATTCTTGAGCCATTTACAATTGTACAGCAAAAACCCCAATGATCTTTTAATGCACCATTCTATCAGGTCATCCTGATCTTACAAAGCTTAAAGATCAGATAAAAAGCTGACAGCTTGCACTTTGGGATGATGCTGAAGAACCCTGTTACGGCTATCAATTTCGTAAACATTTAGCAAGAGATGATCCGTGCCAGGTCAAAAACACAAATCACAATTATGATTCACTGCATACTTCTCTGCCTCAGATGTTTTCCAGAAACCTGTATTATCTTGGTCTATTCACGCTATCCATATGTTCAAGTTCTTTCAGTATATGTTACTCTCTTGTGACACACATCTATTCTTCGGCACTTAAGTTATATGACCTTATTGTGTTGTAAGTGCTGTAAAACTCTTACTAAAACTAAAAATGTCAGTAGGTTAATTATTCTTGGTCTACCTTTGCTTTTCTTTTTTGTATTCTGTTTTTTCAGATGTAGCAGGATGTACACGGAGTTGTAAATAGACAATAACAAAAATTGAAGATCAAAGTTAAAAGCAGTAAAGCAAAATTGACTTGCAGCAGGTCATCAAGTCAAACAGTCAAGCTCACAACTACGTAAGTTCATATGAGCGCCAAAGGCAGGATGTCAACAGAGAAGTTCAAACGGGGATTCAGGCTTACTCTGCTCACCTCTCTAGCCTCAACAGCACAAAGTCTGCTTCATTTATCACGGCACCCCGGAAATAGCAGTTCACAAGAGAGTGACAAACATTCAAAAGAAGTAGAGGAAAGGGACGTTAGTACTAATAGTAAGGATGAGGAAAGAAAAAGCAGCAGTTCCTCCTCCTATGTTGTTCCAGCACAGTATGTGCATGACATTGATAAATCAGCCCTTTTATAATTCTACTGTGCATAAGAACATGTTAACATCCCCCCTTTGGGAATGGCCTATTGTAAGGATTGTGAGAGTTAATTCATACATATATTATCACTCCCACACATTGATGCACTTTTTTCCCCAGAAAAACTACAACAACCTCTAAAACAATTTTTACATGGCCAATAGCAGTCCCAAGGCTGCACAAACACAGAAGGGAAATGTTAAGTAGTGTGGATAATAGTAAACTAGTTAAGATGACCATCAAGTGGAACAGTAGTTGTCAGACTGGTCTGTTGAAGGACCGTCAAGCAGAACAGAAACATCGTGGTAGACCATCAAGAGGACAGGCATGATGAAATGTACCTCCAATTTGTCAATGCTTCCAGACTGAAGAAGTTTTGGGGTATTTATCATCCCATGAAATATCCCAGTGGAATCAAGCAAAGACTTATGCGCTTCCTTACATATTGGCTTTCCCTCTGTCAAATTCAAATGAAGTCCTGCATAGAAAAAAAGGGAAAAAATATGACCAAAACCATACTTTTTCTTATTCACCCATTTTAAACTTACACAGCAGTCATCAATTTGATATTAATTAGATGCTGACAAATATCAGTTGAGGTGGTGAGGTATTGCACAAACATCAGTTAAGATATATTTCAGAACATCAAAAACATGCAACGACAGTACAAACAAGGAGATTCTAAAGTAAACAAAATAAAAAAATAAATGGCTTAACTCGAATCAGTGCCTATATGCTGCATTTATAAATGTGCCAAATACAGGAAAGTATTTGTATTAATGTTCCTCAAACATGTTTTCATTATTTCATAATCTCTGTCTTTTAACCAGAATCTGCTTGATGAAGTGTTTATTAAAGCAATGGTGTTGGAGTGAAAGAACGGAATGAAATTAGTATTAAAAAAAACTTTTTGAGAGTGTAAAATCAAGGAGCTTTTATTTGAAATTTTGAGACACTTTTAATTGCTCAATATTTTTTTAGTTGTAGACAGCCTGTTATTTGATACGTAATAATAAGTAAAGTTTAAAATCTGAAACGTTTTGTTTTTTAAACGTTAAATCCGATCCTTAGGTACCGAGTCAACATCCACTAAAACTTAAAACAGGATCTAACAAAGATCAAAAGCCAACTACTGTACATTAGGTTTTGACGATTTTGTTTTTTCGAGTCACTTTCTTTTTCTTTTAGCCCATTTGATTTTTTATGCCAACATTTTAAATTTGTGATTTGAATCTCCGAGTGTTGGGTGTTCCCATACAGTATCACCCTTTGAACATTTCGCTAAAGACTTAAATTTGTTAATTTCTTCAAAGATTGTGAATTTAAGTCACATGTAAAAACAAAAAAACGGTGTAGCCTACTGTGCTTTCAACCGGAAATGATGTTAAATCAATTTAGCTCTAATAAAATATGAACAATTATGAAAAAGAGCAAGCATGAGCATCAGGTAGTGTGAGAATTGATTATATGGGGAAGGAAAAGAGACTGCAGCAAAATAAAAAAAAAACATACATCTATTTAAAGCCAATCAACATTTCTAAAGAACCATCCTTGTAAACATAGTACAGTCGAACCTGCGTAAGACGGAATCGGAAGAGAGCGGGAAAAAAATTCCGTCTTAGACGGGGAATTTAGGGGGGGGGGGAGGGTCAAAGCCCCAGCCAGAGGGATCAAGGATCACTTGTCCGATCGGCAAGCAGTGGTCAAAACTTCACACCTCTCAACTGCTATCCTGTCTGATAATGACATGCGTCAGTCTTACTTATCCAATTGCCACCAGTGCTTGCCTTTCATGACCTATTAAAAACAGAAACGTTTGAACTTCTCCTTTGCTTCCACCCTTAGCCCCATGACCCACCAATGCCACCCCCACTGCCATCATTGTAACAACGAAAAGAGGAACTCTTTTCTTGGCTGGCCTTACGAAAAGGGCGGTAGGCATTGGTCAATCTAATTTCACACCTCTGGCTTCTGGCTACCCACGAAAGTTTCTGTAGTGGCCAAGGAGCTTCTTCTCCTTGGTATTTGCTCACTACTGGAGCACTCCCGCGGGCAGTCGTGAGATTTCACACCCACACTACACTGACCACCTGCATCGTTCAGGGCTCACATGATGGGGTCACATCTACCCCCAAATTGCACCCCAAACTCCCCTTCCTTGCCCAGCGGCATGGCCATTGCGTTAAGTTTAGAGCCGACGGAACCAAACCTGCGAGTTTTGTTTCAAATCAGGGCTGAGGGGGCAAAGCATTTTCCGTCTTAGACAGGGGAAACCCTCGGAAGGGAGCGGATTTTTCTTTCCGTTTCCGCGTTGGACAGGTTTCCGTTTTAGTTTTATACAGGTAATTAAAGAGGAATATATCAAGGGGGGAGTGGGGAGATTCCGTTAAGACAGGTTTCCGTTTTATACAGATTTCCGTTAAGGCAGGTTCGACTGTATAGTAAAATGTCGTTAAAGCAGAGATATTGAGCCATACGGTGCAGCCTCTCTATAACAACCTTCGATATAACGACATCCTCTGTATAGCGACAAGGTGCCCAGGTCCCCATTATTTCCTTTAAAATATATCATTAGCAATATTTTGGTTGGCTCTCTATAACAACAACTCTCCATGACGGCATTTTTGGGGGGGTCCTAACGATGCCGTATAGTGAAGAGAGGAAGCACTGTGCATATCCAAAGCACTGAATTACAAATTCAAAAATTGCATTATGCATCCCAAGCATTCATAATTAAGTTGATTAGAACATTTTTTAGAACCAAGAGATTCACAAAACATGGAAGAGTAACCTGCTGTATCCACAGGTTCCACAACCATAGATTCAATATAATATATGCTAATCCAAATAAGAGATTATTGTGAACTCAGTAACAGCGTGTGGGCCATCAGATGAATTTAATAAATGACAATAAAATGCACTTTCTGTTCCTATTTTTTTGCGCAACTTATGTGGTCTACAATTCATTCGTTTTGTTAATGTATTATACTTTACCTTTTGTCTGTCTTTCTTTATATAAGGACATTACTTCCACACTTACAGATTTTGATATGCGATACAAATTCGCAAAAATAAATCATTGACGATAAGGCAGGCCCACTGTGTACACCAAAATATTGCAAGCAATCAGGAATTAAAACAGCAGATACAACAAAGCAGCATTCTATTGTATTCATTACACGAAATCAAAATAAGCACATATATAATTATATGGCATTAAAAAAATATTTTCAACTAGATCTAGTCTAATAACAGCATTGCACTCCACACTGTAGGGTCCAAACAATTGAAAATGAAATTTTTAAAAATAAGGGTCTACAAAAATATTTCAAATTAAACAGCTAAAAGAGGCTGTATTGAAACAGAGAAACTCACAGTAAAAGATAGTCATTGTTATTGCTACCGGATCGGCAATGCTGCCAGGATAGGGTCTTCACGACAATGACAATGACAATCTTTATTCATCTCGCAGGGAGAAATTTGTCTTGGTCATTTACAATGGCTGTAGACGTTACCAAGGCTAGGTGCACTCATGCATACACTCACAACAAGACATGACATTAGTAAATACATGACAACCCGCTCCGTAAATCTCTCTCTCTCTCTCTCCCTCCCTCCCTCCCTCCCTCCCTCCCTCCCTCTCTCTCTCTCTCCCTCTCTCTCTCTCTCCCTCTCTCTCTCTCTCTCTCTCTCTCTCTCTCTCTCTCTCTCTCTCTCTCTCTGTGTGTTTCATTAGTAGCACTGTGTGTTCAGTAACCTCACTGCGGTTGGTACGAATGAATTTCTATATATATATTATATCTGTCTGTTCTTGCTTTTTTGGAAATGTATCGTTTACAGTGGGTCGGAAGTTGAAATTCCGATCCGTGGATGGCTATTGTCACTAAGCATTATTTCCACCTTTTTTAAAACGTTCGTTTTGTGCAGATATTCAAAGTTTCTTAGGTTTCCATCAACTGTTCTTGACGCCTTTCTGATCAACTCGTTTATAATTTTAATGATGTGCTGCCTTCCCAAATTGCTACCATAGCAAGTGCTACCAAAACTTATCAAAGTTTCTATTGTGGTGGGGTAGATATCTTAAGGATGGATGGATTCCGATTAAAAGACCTAAGTTTCCTCAGAAAGTACAGCCTCTGATTTACCATTTTAACGATATTGTTTACGTGATTTTGCCATGTAAATGTTTTTAACAATTGTAAGACCAAGATATTTGTATGAATCTGCGATTTCAATTGTTTCTTGTTCAATAACACGTGGTGGAATTGTTGGTCTTTCTCTTCTAAAATAAAAAATAATTTCCTTTGTTTTTGAGAGGTTCACTTTTAGAAAATTTGAATTGCACCATTTAAAAAACATACATGATATTTCTTCGAGATACTCTTTATCGTCAAGGTTTATTCATCCTTCAATCACTGGAATTTGTGATATAATGTTTAAACTTTTTGCCTTTGTATACAGGACATGAAAGTTCAAAAGAAACAGATTCTCATTTGCTGAACAGTTCCATATAGTGCATTATGTGCAGCTGTTTTCAGATGCAGAAGGTAGCTTTCCTCAGAGATATATATCCAAAAAATAACTAGTCTCAATTCAAAATAAATATTTTCCACTTTACTACCATCACTGATTCGTCAATGATAAGATCTCTCAAGACAAAAACAGTTATATTTCATCCACTAGTGTTTGAGGTGCAGGGGATATATAGGCACTTCACCGTCACTCCCAGAAGACCCGAGTTCAATTCCCGTGTGGGGAAAATTATTCCTGACTACTGGTATCTGTCTTTCTGCTTCAACTTTCTGTCCCTCTCAGCCAAGGTTGGCCCTGACGGGCAGGGTTGGAGCCTGCCTCGTTAATGATCTAAATTGTGCTGATGAATGTGTTTTTAAAAACACCTACAGTACATTGAACAATATTCTGCCTCTCACTACAATGTAATACATATTTTTAGTATATAATATTTATATATATATATATATATATATATGTGAAACAATTTCTATCTCAAAGTGCCTTCATCTTTGTGCTTTATCCGATATCTCATGCCCATGCCCTCATGTGTACAAATGGAGTCCCAATCTTAATCTACCTCTTCTGCACACACTCTGTTTTCTGTCAGTTCTTTCCGCAGGTCTCGTTTTCCCCAAAAGACACCATTCTCATTTATAAGAGTCCTGTATTCCTCCTTGCCCACTGGTCCTCCTTCAGTCAAATTCAAGTGAAGTCCTGTCGGTTACAGAAATTTGGCAGTCTTTCATTTTCACGGAATAACTATTTATGGGAATGAACTATAAAGAAAAACAAAAGCAAAGCATTTTGCGGGAAGGAGAGGATTGATTTAATTTTTTTTTAGCATAAATAGTTGCATAACAAGTTTCACCAATAA